CGCTGACCGCAAAACAAACTTTTTGTTTCAGATTTATGCGGCAATATTTTGCTTTGAAATCGGTTGGGGCCCCCCCATTTCCAGCCAGCCTCCAGCCCAAAAGGGAGGGCACAAAGACAAATACAAATACACGTACAACCTGTAGCATTCATCCGCCTCTCTGGGTTTCGGTTAAACTTGAGTTCTATTTACATTTTGCGCTTGAACGCATTTTTATCTTTATCTCTCGTGGCAGGCGAGTGGCATGAGGGGCATGGATTGGATTGGAGTGGAGTGGAGTCGAGGGAAAGCATCTAAATTTTAAATTGAAAATTGATTTTTCCAAATGTATTCGCAATTCTTTGTTGTTTGACTAGAATTTGATTTGCTTTGCTTTGCGTTGCGCTGCTCGAATCGCTGGCTGGTCAGTTTTTTTTTCGATTGATTTCGCTTCTGGCCAGCGGGCAGATTGGAAAATCCTCCCCCGAAGCGTTTTTATGATAAGCCTTGTGAAAGGAAGCGGAAGTGGGATGATCCCCACAGTGCGTCTGCCTTACATTCATATGGTATGTGGCATACATTTGGGCGTCCAGGCGGCAGGGCCGTATAAATAGGGTAAATGAAATGCAGAAATTTGGTAATATATCGGTTATGCTATAAATATTGAGCACAACACAGACAAACAATGGAAAAAGATACGAGTATCTTCGAGTACGAGGGACACGATTGAGCGAATCTCCCTAGAATCTGTCACAAGAATTTGAGAATTAAAGAAACTACCCTGAAAAACCGCATTCCGTACAAACTCTCAGCCTAAAAAGAATCGATATATACCGACCTTTGGCTTATACAAAAGATACAAGTACGTACACAATACATACTCTTTAGTTGTGCTCTCCACAGAATTCCTCCAACAGGAGATTATAAATTATTAGTTATCATCGCTTAAAGTATCCTTGGTTACATGCCCAAGGATTTTCCTATGGAGCTCAGCCATTGTTCCCTTTTTATTTACTTTCCTTTGAACACACCTTTAACTTGTTTTCTTCTTACCCTTCTGGCCAAAGTCTTGAGGAGGGTATATTGATTTTCTTTATTCCTTATCTTAATTTGCTGTACCAGTTAGCGGGTGAATTTGAAATAATATTAAGACAAATATAAAACAGGAGCAGAAGCCTTGCGCCAGGGAAGCCGGTCATAAGCCTATCAAAACGTTTTTATTGGACCCCTGCACGCGTCTGGGCGACAAGCCCCCACAGGACTGGCAGGGAGTTCCTTTTGGGATTCCTCCACACGGTCGACGACAGTTTCGCGTGTGTTTGCACTTTTCCGGTCGTTTTTCTAGCTTTGAAGCGACTTCTAGGCTGCCATTTGGGGGATGTTGGTCTTGCGCCACAGAAATTGATAGCGGACGACAAATCATACCTTGAGACGGAGTCAGATTCGGTGCTTGGGCTGGAGCTGGGGATGGGGCTGGGGCTGCACTTTGAGGGTGGCTCTGTGACAGCTCCAAGAGTCCCGAACCTTGTTTGTCCTGCTAATGTGGTGGCTGTTGTTGCTGTTGTGCTGTTGTTGTTGCACAATTTGCCGGCCTGCTAATAAAATTTGATAAGCCAAAGTGGAGCAGAGCCAGACGGGGCACATAAAATGTTTACCCGCTGCACGCAAATTGGGGATAAATTCACTCCCCGAGTCGTCTTCGTAATGCAGGGGGAGTGACACAGCAACAAACACCCAGTGATCCGCCCCATCCAACCCCCTGCCCCGTCCCCCCTCCTCCCCCTTCCCTAGTCTTCCCAGCAATTGCAAAGTTAATTTGTGCATAAAAATGTTGCCAGGGGAGTCATCCATTGGGGTCTGACGGGACTGTTCGGATCAGGCTCTGACTCTGGTCTTCTTCGTTGATTAGCCATAAAAATGTTTTCGCAGAATTTTTTGCTGCTCCCTCCGCTGCTCTCTGACCTCTTTGATTTATTCCAATGTGCTTTGATTCGAGCCGTTTCATCCCATTCTATTTGATGGTGCCTTGGCCATTTTGGTTTGATGCATGCGAAATGCATTTTTGATGACGGTTAATGGAGTTTTTACTGTCTCTGTCTCTGAGCGTGGACTTTATGGGAGGCTGGGGGGGCTTGTTAAATTTCCATTCCCCTGCCTGACTTGGCACATTTTTGTTTTCTTTTTGTTTTAGGCCTGGGCCCAGTGCCAATGATTGGGGGTTGGTTTATTTTATGAGACATGATGGGGCCGGGCCGGCGGGCAGACAGACAAAATTTCGAAGCGTTTTTATATGGTCTGGATGGTCTATAACGCTTTTTGAGACGCATTTTTCATTTATGACCATATAAAATATACAAATTTGTAGCACACTTTTCAGAGCTCGTGGCTTAAAGGGGAAACGGAAATGGCTCTTTGAATTTATGAAGATTTCATGGAAATTGTGCACATTTTGTTATCACAAGAGGAATGGAAATTCTTTATAAACTTTTAATTTGAACCGTCAAAATATCTTCTGTCTGGGGATTCCCCTACAGTTGGTTTATCCATTACTTAAATGTTAAAGGCTATTTTTTATTCGGTGTTTATATTTCAGTGTTGCCAATGATTGCAAGAGGTAACAAAGTCAGAATAGGACGGATTTTCAGAATTATTCTTCCATTATAAAGTAGCCTTCGATAAGCCCTATAATTGGTGCGAAGTTCGATTTTCGTCCACTATTCGTTTTCGAAATTTCTTCAAAAAAACCAAGGCAGTCGCACGGGATAAAAATAGAAGTGGTTTTCGCGGCTATCATTTCAAACTCAAATTTCACCGAATGTTGAGGCCTTATATTTATGCGTATTTCTGATAAATGCTGTGCATGGATGTATTTTTAAAATGGTTATAATTAAATGCAAATTTGATTTGTTGTTTTTTTTTCAATTTAATTAAAACCGATGTCGCACGGGACAAAAACGTCTTGGGTTCATAAAAGTACAAAAATTTACCGTTAACCGACTAAAAAAATAAAAAAAAAACTAAAAAGTTCACTTTACCTTATGTTAATTAGTTTTCAGTGCAAAGTTAATGAAATTATATGGTTAAATTGGCCAAGTTTCAATTAATTTAGAAAATAAAACCGAGGCAAAAGAAATGTGTTTATATTAGCTTTTAATTTTTTTGTCTCGTGGACCTTTCCATGGAAATGCCCATATGTACATATATATTTTTTTTTTGTGAAATTCCGAAACACCCAACAAAGCTTTTGTTAATTATCCCCTTCGATAAATTGTGTGTATCTCTACCAATTATATCGATGTCCCTCCATTAAAGCAGTGCCATTGGGGGCATAGGAGAGGAGACTGCATATCGGCAAGTAAAAGCAAAGTCAAGCCAAATATTTGCCCACACATTTGCGAGTAGACACACATTTTCACACAGGGAGAGCGACAAAGTCAGGCCCGGCAAAAGGACAACGTTTGAGCAAACACGCACACACATGTCCGTATAGACTCGTCCTCTCTCTCTCTCCCTCATATGTACATCTGCATAGCAAACAAAAACGAAAGCACAAGAGAAGAGTGGAGAGCGGAGAGCGGAGAGCGGAGAGGAACACTTAAATGCTGCTCAAAATTGGATTTGAGGCAGCTTAGAGGAGCACTCTGAACCCCTCCCCGCTCGTGCACTCCCAAATGCTGATAAACATTTTTATAGTTAGGCCCAACATTGCCACAAGTCATGGCTCATCCCTTTCTGTCTCTATCTCTCCATCTCGCCGCTCCTCTCCTCTCCTTCCGCCTTTTCTTTTGCCGCCTTATTCCCAAGCTGCACATTAAAGCTCAACAGAAGAGAGAGAGAGAGCGAGAGGCGGAGCGTCGGTATCACTGTTTATGCTTATTTAAAAAAGTGGCAGCGCTTCCAAGTTTTGATTTGATAAAGCGAAAGAAAAGCAGAGGAAAAAAATCCTAGGGAAAGCTTAGAAAAGGAAGAGGCCAAAGGATGTGTGGGTGTGTGCGAGAGAGTGGGAGAAACAAGCACGGTGGGGTGAGAAGGCTGATAAAAAAGAATCGTTTATGCAAGTCACATACGCAGCGAGCTTTTAATAATAAAAACAACGAGCTTCTGTAATATGAAAACAAACCCGGGGACGTGAATGTGCGTGCCAATGTCTCTATGAAAGTGAAAGGGCCCGGCAGCCAGGACCCGGTATCCAGTGCAGCCACAAAGTGTGCCACGAAGGGTTTCTTATCGGGAACCCCCAAACATTTTAGCCCATAAGATAATTTTATCATTGCATTCGCTTTCGGTACAATATGAATAGCTAGAAGTTGTTGTTTTTGTTTAATAATTTACATTTTTGAATGTCCACAAGAGCCTATTACTTGCGTCTTAAAATACTCTTTTTTAGTACTTCAATTTGAAGAAAAAGGACACGAAAGACGAGAGAAACTTCGCTTCTTCAAAGAAACTGCCCAACAAAGGACCAAAGAAATATTATTTTCGAAGCTGCACTTGAAGGAATTCATTTGTAATGGTGAAATTTATAATATTAGGGTCGTCCAGCAAAGATACATACCAGAAAAGGCTCCAGTTCGTAAAATTGTGGACAAAAATTCTATTGATTTGTATGTCTTTAGTGTTATATATTTAAATTTTTACAATTTTTCCCTAAATGAGCTATTGATTAGCTATTGGCCAGTCCCGGCCTGGTAGAAAAGAGAATTACGAAGAGAAGTACTATAATTTCTGGCAGAAAAGATAACTACTAAGAGGTAAGATCTCTAAAGTTTTAATCAATGCATTCGAAATAAATCAACAAATTCGGAAAGTCGCAGTCACGCTTTAATGAATTCTCAAAGGCTAAAAAGCGCCTAAAATGTCATCCTTACTTAAGTACAAACATGGAGCTACAAGCTATCGTTTTGTATATTGGTAGCTACCAAAAATGTGTTAATTTCCACTTAAATGCGTTTTTATTGAGACTTAGCTAAATCGAGTTCCTGATCGAGTGAAGGAATGAAAGATATGAGCAGGAAACAATATTAAAACTTAAATTAGAGCTCCATGCTCCTTTTATGATTGAATTGGAAAATATAAAAAGTGTATATAATATAGTACATAAATAATGAAAACCACAAAATAGTTTAACCCTAACTAAAAACCTAATTGAAAGTTGACAAATTAGATACGAGTATACTCCAGTCAGGGAAACATGAGGGCAAAGAGGGCCTTCAGCTGCTGGGAGGCACTGCAGTTGGGCCCACATATGACCACATCCGCGTAGATCTGGTGCTCACGGCTGTAGGTGAGGTTCTTGATGTTGGTGAACTTCGGCTGGATGACGCGCTGGAGGAGGTCTTCCTGTCGCAGGGCATAGCAGAGCTTTCCGCATAAGCACTTGGGCGCCTCCGAGATGAGTTCGATCAGTATGGCAGGCACAGAGTCTGCGGACAGAGGCAGTTTGTAGTTGGCGACGGCGCGAGCTGCCTGCAGCCAGAGCGGCTGTGGAGTATTGCTGGCCGACAATCGCTGCGACTGTAGCTGAGCAGCCTCGGCATTGAAGCCTCTGAAGCAGTTGCCCCACACGTCCAGCAGGTCTATGCGGAGGTCCTCAATTGCTGCGGGCAGGGATTCCAGTTTGTTGCTGCACACGTGCAACGAGCGTAGACCCTGTAGCCGTCTAATGGCGAAGGGCAGGCGGGTCAGCTGGTTGTGATTCAGTTTCAGAGACACCAAGCGCTCAAACTTAACCAGAGCAGGTGGGAAGTAGGTCAATCCATTGCTCGACAAGTCCAGCTCGCGGAGAGACTGACTTAGCTTCGTGCCACGCATCCAACACCAGTCATTCAACTCACCCAGACAGTTGCCGCTCAATTGCAGCGTGGTCAGGGGCAGGCGGCCAAGCTCGGGTGGAATCTGGCAGTAAAGGAAGAATAATTCAAAATGTACACGCAATGCAAGGTCCGCTCACCCACCTTCGTCAACTTGTTGCCTCCGACGTCCAGCGTGGTGAGGTTGCGCAGCGTGCAGATCTCAAAGCTGAGTTTAACCAGCTGGCTGTTGTTTATGGTCAGAGACTTGAGGGTCCGAGGGAAGCCCTTGATGGGGTATTCACTGCGCTTGCTGACCACCATCCTCTGCTGCGGCTGCGACTTTTGGGGAATGGCCGTGGCGGCCGCTATGTTCAGTCTTAGGTTAATGGCATCCTTGCCTTCCATGCCCAGCTTCAGGGTCTGCAGAAATCCCTTCAGCTGTATGGGATCACATTTGATGAGCAGGTTTTCCGCAGGCTGATGGAAGCCAATTGTGGCCTTTCCATCCAGGATAAACTTCGTGTGCACGGCTTGTACATTGTCCCGCACCTTGTACCGGGTGCCGGTCTTGGTGGTGCCGCTGAACAGCAGCATTTCCAGCTCTTTTTTTGTGTTGCCATTTGAGTCCGACGCGCCTTGTTTGTAGCCAATGGCAAGTGTGGACTTTACGGGCCTGGGAGTCCGATTCGCTTGGGTTGTGCGGTTCACCACCTGCACCTCGCATAAGATTTTCATGGCGAGTATGTAAATAAAACAACTAAAATCTGAGTGTAAACAACATTGTAGTTTCTAATTCGCTTGTTGGGTTGATGGAGCTGCCAGACTGGTTGTACGTCAGCTGCGTCTGAATGGCGCTGCCACTGCTGACCTGTGTTTTGGCGCGTGCGCGTGCTCACAGCCAGCCGCCAGCCTACATATCGCAGAAGTTACAAAACCAAAACAAAATATTGCATACTAAACAGTGTTTGTTGAAATTGTTGCTAAAGAGAGACGTAATTACATTTAAAGCGCAAGAAAATGCTATTCCGCAAGGTTCGCCGACACTTTCTGCCGTTCTACATGTTCAACGGGTTCTTGTGACAACGCAACGAACACCGTTATCAACGCTTGCGTTATAACAATTACAACAGCAATAATGACAATCAGAGGCGAGAGCTCATGGTAAGCGGTAAATATTGCAACAACGTCCAACCAGCCTTTAACTCTGCTTTCATTTTCATGCATTAGCACCACAGCGCACTGGACAGCTATGTGAACAGCAACGTGATAATAAATATAGATAACTGCGCGCCGTATAGCACCAATGTAAGTGGAAATATTCCATTCGAAAAACTGATCGCTGACGTTCTTCTTTTTCCACTGATCTGGCAACCCCGCAGAGCACAGCTGATCGCCCGCTAATCTATAGATCGCTGCAGCACCAGCGCCAGCAACAACGACGCGAACGGTTTTTATTCATCTTTCGGTTTTTTCGCGCGACGGTCGTTTTTGGTCTGGCTTTAGCCTGCGTCATCTTCGCGCTACAAACAATGGGCTGGATTTTTGCGGTGGTCATAGCGCTTGTCGCCCTGCTGCTGACGCGGCCAGGCTGGCGCTGGTTCTACATAGCGGGTGCCACAGCGCAACGAGATTTAATGTGAGTCTAAATGGACATAGTTGTAGTGGGTGTGTTGTGTTATCTGCTCCCCCCCTCCCCTCCCCGTACAGACGGTACTGGGTATGCTGATGGCGATGATAGGTTTACAATACCCCCCAACTGGTGTGCATTTCAAGACAATTCAGATTCAGATTCAGATTTGTGTGTTTCCTTTGTGAATCCATTGAGGCGCGTCCGACCGCAAGACCGACCGCATGAGAAATCAGCCGAGTGCGAGTACTTTGCTCATTGTACCCCGCCTGTTGGCTAACTGCAGTATGGCCACATAGAAAACTCGTTTCCCGTTTATTTAGGTCGCCATCGCCGTCTCCGTCTCCAGCAGCCAGATCGAGTTTTCAAAGAAAACTGTAAAGAGAAAACTCCATTAGGCAGGCTGACGTTTTCATCTTCTGTTTGTTTAATTGTGATTTTTTTGTCATAAAATCGCTAATAATATACGGCATTTGTATGTACGTCAGTCCATTGACTTCTTCAGGTTCAAGGTCGACATAGGCCCGACATAAGCCACAAGATACAAAATTCACTTTTATTTACCATCGGATCGGAGTGATCGTCATCGAGAGGCCCTGCCGCATACTAATTTGTCGGGTGCGTCAGGCGGAAGCCTCACTGGCACAGTTACCGTCGACATTCGATACATTAGCGGCTGTTCTTGAAAACGTACACCCAGGCCAGGCCAGGCCAGACCATAGCGGAGCCAGCTAATACTCGTACAAAGTCAATTAAAATGGCGGAAGTGTCACTCGCCTCGAGCTTAGCTTTTCGGCGTTTGTTTTTTTGTTTGTTTTGAACGGCCAGCAGGGCTAGCAGGTCGAGTTCCAGCTGCGATCGGTGGAAATTTCGGACTCAGCCGTGAAAATCTCTTTAGACTTGTTGCTAGTCTTTTGCGCATATTCAGTTTAGCTCAGCGTATTTCGCTTCAACGCTTCTCGTCGTACAGCACAGCACTCGTACAGATCGGGTTCCGTGCCAAGGCCAGCACGCTGAAACCGACTCACACTCATACTCTAACACACAGCAGATTCTTAAGATCGACTTCAGCATCAGCACCAACACCAAGTCTGGCCGGACAACCTTGGGCAAGTTTTCGAGCGGTCGAAGCGACTGGTCGCGATTGCTGCCGAACTTATCACCGAACAAACATGTTCGACTGTTCCAAAAATACAAGCTAGCCACTCGAGGGGGGTCATAAGGCCTGATTAAAGGCTTCTCGAAACATGGCTAAGGAACGCAAGTAATCCCCATCGTTGGCTGACAATCTTATCGATATGCTGGTCGCCACTGCTGGCTCTCCAGCAGTGCAAAGTACGTCCCGTCCCTCCAGAGTGCACAGCCCCGGAAATTCAAATTCAGATCGCCTAAGCGTTCGAGTCCCAAGTCGAGTGCGGAGCATAGTAGTGTTCCCCCTTATAATATACAGCCCCCCATCTACCTACTTACGTTCAAGGGGTTGATGTTCTTCGCGGGCCTAAGCTGAATCCCAATGGGCGCCGTAAATTAGAAATACCTGCACTGTTTGCCTATAGAGCATATCGAATTGCTTTCGTGGCGTACTCTGGAAATTCTGGAATAGTGAACGAGTATATCTGCAGCTGTCTCATTGTCAGTTTGAAAAATATAATAGAATTCATTAAATATCAACCGGGTCGATCAGCCAGTCTGGTTGTCTTGGGTTAGGTTTGGATCCCTTTAGGTATCAAAGTACAACGATATTTCCTAGGGCAAGCGCTGGAGCGGAGCGTTGGAGCCCCCCTGCCGCAGTGATTCGCTGGAAAGCCTTAGTCGTGCATTTCTTCTATAACCTGCTTATTCATAAACCTCCATATGTACAGCTTATATAGCTTAATCTTATCACAATCTGGCCTTTGAATTGAAAATAACGAAGATTTAGGGTCATTTTAAATGGATTAATAATTACAGCCTAATTACAATTCGGATATCACTCACACAGACAGGGCACTTCCTACTCAATGCCAATCTTTATAGCCCTTTGACCTCGTTTTGAACTTTGCATTGGCTGGCTATCGTTTCAGTGAAGCCATAAGCCATCCAGTGGCCTCCCACAGTCGCACTGCGAAACCGCATTCCATTGCAGATAGTCCGGGCTAAGTATTGGGTTTATCGCGGCGATTTATCTCAAATCGTGTACGTACATATAGTGCGCTTGTCGAGCTGCGATTTCGATGTTGCGCTATTTTTAGTACTTTCAACCGTTGACCATAAAACAACGCGATCGATGGGAGGAGATATTGCGAGTACCTAGTCGCTAATCGGCTTTTTTTCCCCTCTAAAACCCCACTTCAGTGCTTTGTGGGCCTACATCAAGCTGCTGAGGTACACGAAGCGGCATGAGCGCCTCAACTACACGGTAGCCGACGTATTCGAAAGGAATGTGAGAGCGCATCCCGAGAAGGTGGCTGTCGTGAGCGAGACCCAGAGATGGACCTTCCGGCAGGTGAACGAGCACGCCAACAAGGTGGCCAATGTACTGCAGGCCCAAGGGTACAAGAAGGGCGATGTGGTGGCCCTGCTCCTGGAGAACCGCGCCGAGTATGTGGCCACCTGGCTGGGCCTGTCGAAGATCGGCGTGATCACCCCGCTGATCAACACGAACCTTCGCGGTCCCTCGCTCCTCCACAGCATCACAGTGGCTCACTGCTCTGCCCTGATCTACGGCGAGGACTTCGTGGAGGCGGTGGCCGATGTCGCCAAGGATCTGCCCTCCGATCTGACCCTGTTCCAATACAACAACGAGAACAACAACAGTCAGACCCAGACGGACATCAAGCAGTCCAGGAATCTCAATGTTCTGTTGGGCACGGCCAGCAAGGAGAAGCCGAACAAGACGCAGGTCAACCATCACGACAAATTGGTCTATATCTATACATCCGGCACCACAGGACTGCCCAAGGCGGCTGTCATCTCCCATTCGCGGTGGGTAGCCCAGCTTTCTGTCTTTTCAATTATATTTTCATCTATCTATCTGTCTATGTAGGTATCTCTTCATCGCCGCCGGTATCCACTACACCATGGGTTTCCAGGACGACGACATCTTCTACACTCCCCTGCCGCTGTACCACACCGCTGGAGGCATCATGTGCATGGGCCAGTCGGTGCTCTTTGGCTCCACCGTTTCCATCCGCAAGAAGTTCTCGGCCTCCAACTACTTTGCTGATTGCGCCAAGTTCAACGCCACAGTAAGTACTGGAGCAGCCCCCACTGTAGCACAGTCTTATTGCTATAATGCTTTACTCTGTTATCTCTAGATTGGGCAGTACATTGGGGAGATGGCCCGCTATATACTGGCCACTAAGCCGTCGGAGTACGATCAGAAGCATCGGGTGCGCCTCGTCTTTGGCAATGGACTGCGGCCGCAGATCTGGCCGCAGTTTGTGGAGCGCTTCAACATCGCCAAGGTGGGAGAGTTCTACGGAGCCACCGAGGGAAATGCGAACATCATGAACCACGACAACACTGTGGGCGCCATTGGATTCGTCTCGCGGATTCTGCCGAAAATCTACCCGATCTCAATCATTCGCGCCGATCCCGACACTGGCGAGCCCATCAGGAGCAAGGACGGGCTCTGCCAGCTGTGCGCCCCCAACGAGCCGGGCGTCTTCATTGGGAAGATTGTCAAGGGCAATCCGTCGCGCGAGTTCCTGGGCTACGTGGACGCTAAGGCCTCGGCCAAGAAGATTGTCAAGGATGTCTTCAAGCACGGCGACATGGCCTTCCTCTCCGGGGACCTGCTGGTGGCCGACGAAAAGGGCTATCTGTACTTTAAGGACCGCACCGGTGACACGTTCCGCTGGAAGGGCGAAAACGTCTCCACCAGCGAGGTGGAGGCCCAGGTCAGCAACGTGGCTGGCTACAAGGATACGGTTGTCTACGGCGTGACCATTCCCCACACCGAAGGCAGGGCTGGCATGGCCGCCATCTACGACCCGCAGAGGGAGCTCGACCTGGACGTCTTTGCCGCCAATCTTGCCAAGACTCTGCCCGCCTATGCGCGGCCCCAAATTATCCGATTGCTCACCAAAGTGGATCTGACCGGCACCTTCAAGCTGCGCAAGGTGGATCTCCAGAAAGAGGGCTACGATCCCAGCGTGGTCAAGGACGACCTGTACTACCAGACGTCCAAGGGACGCTACGAGCTGCTCACGCCCCGCGTGTACGAGCAGGTGCAGAGCAACGAAATCCGCTTCTAGTTGCCCCAGGGGGGTTGTGTGTATCTGTTTCGCCTTTTGCCGATATGCTGTTAATTAATTTGTAAGCTTCCCGCGTTTCGACTTAGTCTTAGTCAAACCAAACCCTGCACTGGAGATGGGCCACTAGGCGAGTATATTGTATTGTAGTTTTTCGGGGGATGGACATATCCTCTCCTATGCCCCCCTCATGCCCAGGTACTCACGCTTCCATGGCAACATTGCACTTTGTTGTATCGTAGGCAATCTTTTATATTGTATCTAGTGATCGTAGTCGTGTGTGCATTTTTGTGGCCGATGTAGCGAATAGTCTGAGTCTGGTATACGCATTTTGAATGTTTTTAGCCTGCTAAAGAACCTTGTTAAGTGCAATTTCGTGCGTCTCTTATTATTAGTCAGTTTTAGTGGCATTACACTTCCATTTGCGCTGCTCGTCGCCTTTGCCTCTCTACATACGATACGAGAGAGAGGCTTTGTCAATGGCGATCCGAGCGCCTCTCCGCTGATGCTTGAGTATCAAATAAAGTTTGTTTTCTTCAACAATACAATGATTGTATTTAAATTATCAGCTCAGCCTCAGCTCAGCTTATGCGCGTGCGTACTGCCGGGGGAACTCGGTGGAACGACGACCCTTCCCCACCTGCATACAAATGCGCTGCTCAATTGGCAGCGCCAGATCACGACACCAACAACGCCAGAGACTAATACGTTGACACTCCGCTGCACATACATGCCATAAATATGTACGTGCATGTTCACGTATTCATTTGCGGGATGGGCTTGTGGGGGGGAGGAAAATAAACTTGAACTCTGCTGACATTCAGATCCAAGGCATCCCTTACCCTAGAATCGACTAATGAGACGATTATATAATCCGCACCTGTGATTCATCAGACACTCATAGTTTTAGTTATAGCCTTTAATAAGATTCAATCTGGCTTCATGACGTATCTATCTAGAGCAAAGTTCTAGTCCGATACGATAATTTGATTGAATAGTATACGATAATATCTTAGAGCTAGTTCTCAATGTATTCTAGCGTAATCGCTAAACGAGCATAGCGAAAACAGCTATGAAGTAGCCGGCAATTAAGTGGTAATTATTTTTAATAAAGTAGCATGATCCAAACGAGATATGCACTTATCTGTCACGCCCCCTTAATGGGGCTGGTCAATCAGATTTTTATCTTAATAAGTAGGCAGCTTTATTAACATATAATCGTTGCCTCTTAAGCATCTATTTGGCACTTTTTGAATCGAAAGTACACATTACCAATGTATTTAGGCTTATAACGACTTTTAGACTTTATCTCGAACAATATATATTTAAATATATGTAGGTGAATGAGCGGACACGCTTTGTATAACCCAGTAAAATTAATGAATTACAATTTTTTCAAATGTTTAAATAAATTATAGAATCTTGGAATGGTAAAGATGTATGTCAAAGATATATGAAGATCTCTTTTTCTAAGAGAGTCAAGGTGGTACAAATTCAATAGTGATTTGTTATAATAGAATAACTTCTATAAACTTCATATGTTGCAATAGTTTTAGAGTAGGCTGTAATGCGCGTTAAGACCGCTCAAGCAAGCTAAACGCCAATGGAGCTTAACAGTAGTAAATATCAGCAAAGCAAATCGAATTATTCAAAAAATAAAAACGAAATACGCAAAGAAAATCATTGTTGAGCTAGAAGCTATAAATTTGAATGAGGCGCGAATTTCAAAAGCTTTTCTTACTCCAATACCCTAATTATTGCCAAGCGGATAGCACTTCCAAGTGTGTGTTTCTGAATATTTCTGAGGGTCGGTCACACTGGTGCCCAGCGTGCCAAGAACCGTTATCAGTTCAAGCAGACCAACAACAACAAACCACAAGCGAAACAAGCAAGGCTCTGAAACGCACTTGTCTGCACTTCCAGCTGCAGTTGCCGTACCCGGTCCGTCCCTATACGTATATTTGTACACGTGTGTGTGTGCCGTGTGTCTGGTCAAGAGATTATGCATCTGACGTACTGCCGTGTGCATAATTATTTCGATTCGAGGCAGGCACAAAGCCAGCTGCAATAGCAAAATTAGTAACGACTGCGACGATGACTGGAGCTGCCGCAGTACTCTTCTCGATCACGATTCCCACAAAGGCGGAAGAGGACCGTCTCAGAGGTGCCAATTCCCCAGGGCCGGCTAACGTAGCGAGCCTGGACGGAAAAGCGACCACTTCGTCCTCCTCAACTGTGGAGACCTTGTCCACCATTCCAATCAGCGACTCGCGGAATGAGTCACCCGAGACACCACATCTCGAAAGCTTTTACAAGAGACGAAGCGATGTCTTGCCCACCATTCGAATCGAGACGGCAAATGCCGGGTCCGCCGACCAACTGCTGGACATACCCCTGGACACCGCCCAGGAGCAGGTGCTGCAGCAGATTCTACGTAGCTTTCACATCAGCAATGCCGTGTGGCTGAGCAGCTCCGAAGGCTCCAGGTATCACGTCAGCTTTTCCATGGATTTCGATGAACAGTTCGAGAGCCTCTACGAGGCGCTGCAGGAGTGGGGAATAGGCGATCGCGAGGGCTCCACGGTGTCTGTGGTCACCTGTCTCGCCAACAGATCTTACGTCCAGCGCGAGCAGCTTGACGAGCAGGCGGGTTCTTCCACGAGCAGCGAGTAATAGCGCCCGAATAGACAATGGATTTTTCACAGTAATACAACAGCTTCGTATCCATCTTCGTCTTAGGAACAACATCAACGCCCAGAAGCATGGCGCTTGGAACCGATTCATGAACTCTGTGCGCTCCCGCCTGAACGTGGCCCAGATTCTGAGAGACGTTCGTCAGGATGCGGCGATAACCTTCGACTTTTGCGTGCTTCTCGTTTCGGCAGCGTGAGAAACAAATGATCGATCGTTGATACGACAGTTCGGTGACCTTTTCAATTGTTTCAGAGTTCTGGCCAGCTTCGGGTTGGTAGAGAACAGCACCATCTTTCTGGCTTCCAGCATGCTGATCTCCCCGCTCATGGGACCCATTATTGCCGCCATCTTTGGGACGGTAATCGAGGACCGGTCACTGCGTCGCCTGGGCATGCTGAACGAGCTGATTGGGATCTTGATTGCCACACTGGTGGGCTTCCTCTTCGGCCTGGTCGTCTGCACAACGGACAAGAAGTACGGCATCGGGGAAGGTCTCACCGAGGAGATGCTGTCGCGCTGCGACCTGCATTCACTGATCGTCGGAGTGTTTACAGCGATTCCGTCTGGAGCCGCGGCAGCCATTGCCATACTCGGAGGGAATATTGGATCCCTAGTAGGCGTCGCCATATCTGCCTCGCTGCTGCCTCCGGCTGTAAACTCGGGACTACTGTGGGCCCTGGCCTGCATCTACAAATTCTTTGAGAGCGACGACTCCCTCTACGTGGACGTGATCAAGTCGAGGAAGTACTCGGAGAACCAAGCCAAGGAGCTGGCAGTGCTAGGAAGCATCAGCATGTGCCTGACCCTCTCCAACGTCCTGTGCGTTTACTCGGTGGGTATTTTGGTTCTGAAGGTAAAGGAGATAGCTCCGGTCATAGGACGAAAGAACAGGCAGTTTTGGAAGCACGATATCAAGCTGGCCCGTCAGTGCAAGGTGGAGTCGGATGCAGAAATCATCGACGAGCTGCTGGCCAACCTGGCTACGGAGGATAAGCAAGCGATGGGCCTCAATAGAGACATCCTACGACACCTTGATGAAACGGGGTACCAGCACACGTGGTCGCCGCTCAGCAATCGACACAACTCCATTCAGCCCTCTGGCTTCTCCACCATCCATCGGCTGGAGCAGCTATACACAAATCGAATAGGGAATCCTCCCGGAGAGCGTCGCAAGCGCCACAGCGTGACTAGTCGACCATCGCAGAGGAGCAACGAAAACAGCCACCAGCTGAGCCCCCCACAGCCCGTAAGCCATCCACAAATTTTTCCCTTTTGTGAGTTAAATAATTGTCCACTTGGTCCAATCCCAGCGTCCTCGCTTTGCCAGTATGCCCTCGAGCGTGAGGAAGAACGAGCCCCCAGAAGAGACCATCATCCAGGTAGCCAGCTCCAAAGCAGCTCGCTTTACAGTCACGCCTGCTCGAGAGGAACACTAAGAATCCATATTATTTGTTAAATGTCTACGTGTAATGAATCTTTGTGCAACAATTTTCAATAACAACTAAAAGTCCACACCTCCGGGTCCTTGTCGATCCGCCTTGACCTGAGCGCGACTCCGTTTGAGCTGGAGGCGCTCACGGGCCGCCCGCTCTTGTCGCCGGCGCACTCTTTCTAGGGTCTCCTCGCTAGGCGCTGCTACCTCAACTTCCTGGGCCCGGATGACCGTGCGCAGCTTCTCCAAGGCATCGGCCAGGTTGAGCTGCTGGGAGCGGCTGACGTCGCTCTTGATGTAGTAGTATCCCTCCTTGGTGATCTTGTTGGCCAACACCTTGAGCAGCTTCTGGCGCGTCTCTTCTGGTATCCACTGCGCCTCAGCCAGCTTGAAACGCACGTCCACCTTGGTGTTCACGGTGTTTACGTGCTGGCCCCCAGGTCCAGAGCTGCGACTGTAGGTAATCTCGAGCTTGTCCATGGGTATGTAGCCGCTGAACTTGTTGGCACTGCTTGGGGGCTGTAATACTGTGCCATGAGCAACCAGTCGCAGAAGGAATTTAATCGTGCACTCACCGGCGGGGGCGGCGTATACAGCTGCAAACGTGCATTTGGGTAAATTTTGTCCAGCGACAAGTCGCTTTTATAGGACAACTGGCGACCCAGGAGTGTGGCGCTGGTGCGAGTGGAATTGCGTTGCCGCAGCACGCTTATAAAAGCACGCGTAATTTTATTCATTTTAAGCCAATTTTAACAATTTTTTAATTTGTTACGAGATCGACCAGCTGATTTATCGCAGCAGCTACACGGTAACTACACATTGGCTACACAATGGGAAGAAATAAGGGGTAAGGACAGCAGGCAAAACGGCCCACAAAAAAGTAACGCCTGCTAGGTAAAATCCACCCCATTTTTTTAATATACCTTGAAGACGAAAATTGTTTTTGCCTGATGTCCATACCTTTCAACAGCTCACCTTGCAATGGCTATCAAGCTAATAAATAAATATTTGGAACTGGTTCGCTGGGTGGAACTTTAACAATTCCCATACAATTTTGTTCTTTACCCTTATCGACATAACTTTGTATTATCAGCAATATATTCGCCCGCCAGTTTAGTTCTTTCTGGCGAACGCACCAAATTTATTGGCGTGAGCACCCTTCATTTTTTAACAAGTTCCTCTACGATCACTATCGATACGAGATACAACGTTACCAGATGGTTGAGACATTTAGGCGATTTTATTTAAATAACATCAAAACATTGTTTAAAACCGTAAAAGTCTCAATCAAACCTTCTTTGGCGATTTTATGGGAATATATATACCACCAATTGGAAGCGTTATGTTGTGATGGCTTTACATGGCCCAGAACAGCGCATATGTAAGTCATCAGGGGAACTGGTTTGACTTGTTTCTGCGTGCTTTGTTTGCTGGCGGGACTGTGACAAAGGAAATACGGTTGTAACATAAGTGGCTGGGACACAAAGGAGTCGTTACAGGGCTGGCCTTTGGGGGTGGAAGCAGCAGCAGAGAAAGAACAACGCAATGCATTCAGCCCAACATACACAGCCCACTGAGAGCTGAGAGCAGTAGCAAGAACCATTGCCAAACGGATTGTAGGATTGCCCAAAGGGAGAGAAATGGCAGACAGCTGATTACATTATGTCTTTGCTGGCGCTCTCTCGCTCTTCTCTCTATTGCTCGCCTATGTGAGCATTTATCAGCTAGTCAAGCGTTCATATTTTTCAGCTCCACAATTGTATTCATCGGTGCCGCTCCCCACAAGTGGAATTCATTTCGTGCCCATGCACCGTTAAAGATCGTGCCTTCGGTCGCTCCAACGCGCGCGTTTTCTTCTATTTTCGTTGTATTTTCTGTGTTGTGAAGAGACATACATATAATTACGCGCGGTATGCTCAACCGTTAATTTTTCGATGCGCAGTGCGGGTGTGTGTTTGTGTATGCAGCTCTATGCGCTCTTATCAGGCGCAGCTATTACATATAGAGCAAATCAGTAGACCTTTCGCCAATCGAAAAAAATATTTTGTGGTTTACATTGCATCAGTTGAGCTGAGTTGAGGGTTTTGACTTTGTCCCCTCAAACAACCCCTTTCCAGGGTCCCACCTGCTTCTATCACATGCGGCGATAAGCCGCAGGCAACGACGAGGGGAGAACTAGAACCTGATACTTGAGAACTACATACTAAATACTTAGTAGGAGGAACCTACAATCGAGAACGGTGGAGCTGGCAAAGGGGAAAATAAGACGATGGATAGGCCAACACTCATACACCGAAAGAAATATCAGCTGGCGTAGGTAGGCCCGATCGTTTCGCTTTCGGATATTTTTAAACTATTAACAAATGTGTGCGTAGAAGCTGCATTTCTAACAAAAACTATGTGTAATTAAAAAGTGTGTTTCAATCGCGCTGTAATTGTACCCGCGCCCCAAGAGTAGATGAGCTGAGTCTAAACAAAGGCGCGAGAGTACGACGCGCTAAAGTATACATTCGTATGAATGTGTGTATGAATGTAAATATGAATTTGCATTAAAATGAGGCTTTAAGTGCATTCGGCGTACGCTACAAAACAAAACGAAAAGTGCGGGCATATTTGTTTTGCGAAACAGTTTGTGAAACGAGAAATATATTGCCATTCACAGATGCCACGCCCACCAAGGTGGGCTAACGAATTTAACGAAAAGAACTAGAATGTGAATAATACAACCAATAACCAATAAAAACGCAAAAGTTTCGTTAGAGCAGTGCACTTGTAGGGCATTCGACTGTCACCATTAGCGTTACCCCACAAGAGAGCCAGTAGATTTGTCTATGCATCGCCCTCTTTCGCTCTCCATGCGGGGACAGCTGTCGGGGACCAGCAACGCAACACGTGTAGCAAAGAGAGAGACAGTGAGATATAAACAGAAGAAATATAAGAAGATAAAACACATATGTATGCATATGCATGTATGTGTTTATGTAGCTGCAGCAGCCGCCAAACATTGCCTATGCTCTCTCATGGGCCTCTCTGCGCTCCCATCTACCCTCCCAGTGGTTTTTTCACGGGCGTCGGTAATTCTGGTTTGTTAGGGGCATGGTCTGATTGGCAACGCCAACCGCTCCGCTACCTCCGCCCCCGACATACATATGTACGTACATATGTATGTTGTATGTATGATTCTCTTCTCGTTCGACTTTTTATTATATGGCAGTCTGCTTCCCCACTTTGTTCCCACTCCCCGATTTCAAAAAGCGAATGAACTCACACACACACAGTCACAAAGCGGCTTTTAAAGAGCGAAATTTATATTAAAATGAGAACTCGGCACACACACAAACACACGCACACACTCGAACACATTCGCGACAACAAAATATAAGTTATTCTAATTGTTGACGCCGCTCTCGAATACAGGCCTAAGCAAGACGAGACGAAAAACGAAAAAGGAAATTAAATGAAAACATAAAATGTTTAAAAGCGCGAGTCTGGCGGCAAGTTAATTTTAAATTGGAGAGATAAAAGTGAACCCTGAAGTGATAAAGTGAAGGTTGGCAAGGCCTAAAGATCAAAAGTGATAATACATACTCCTCACCCACACACACACACACACACATCGTCGAAACCATGTCCAGCTGGAGCTTGGCCAGTGCCGTCTCCCCGAACGTAACAGGTTCTGACGTCATCCGGCTAAGCAGTCTCAACTCTCGCTCCGACTCAAACTTGATAGCGCCACCCCGTCCAACGACCCCTGTGCCCGCCAAGAAGTTGTCCTCCAAGCGCCCGCCACATCTGACGCTGCAGATCAGACCCACAGCTGCCGTCTCGCCCCAATCGCACGATGCACCGCTGGCCGAGACCGAGAACAGTGCTCTGTCGGACAGCGGCCCATCCATCTACGGCACGCCTCTGGGCGCGACGCCTGCCTCAATATCGGCTGCCGCCTCTCCCGCCAGCAACAACACCAGTACCAGCACCAGCACCAACAGCGGCTGCCATCGCAGCAGCAGCAGCACGAGCGGGTCCATATTCCCCCACGAACAGTACAAAACCATCAAGAAGATCAATATCGGCTTCGACAACATTTGCTACAGCGGAAAGTTTGGTGTCTTCCAGAGGGGTAAGTCAAAAGATACCATCTACTACATAGAGTAGTATGTAATTTCATATTAAATATGCCAGTCTAGTTACGCCTAAGATACCATCTATAGGAACATCCCCAGGGTTGCATACACATAGTATGCACGTAATCGTATACATATTTAATTGTCGAGTGGCAGTCACGCATTGCTAGGAGTTATAATTTTCCGCCAACAATTTGGGCGGTATATAGTGTGTAGGATAAGCCTCAGTAGCTTTACTCTTCTCTGCACTGTCAAAAGCGTGCTTATTTGTATACCATAAAACACCGAATTAAGCCATAATTATCTTAAATATCATCAGCTGGGAATAAAGTGCGATTGGCTATAGTCTCGGTTCATCAATTTTAAAACTGTGTCCTAATCCTCTCTTATTGCGGAGGGAGCTTTGAATATTTCCGATTTGCCGCTATGATCAGCTTTCAGTTTCTTGGTTCTTCGTCCAGTACGTAATAAATTCATCAATGCTTCTTGCTTCGCCTTCAAGTATTGCCTCAAGACTGGTACAACACATATAATACTCGGACAACACAATGTGTTATGCAGCTGTCGTTATATATTGACAAGCTACTGATTGAGCGAATCACTTGGGTTCAAAGGGCTTTTTAAACTAAATTAAACAAATTGCATACAGGAATCAAAGAAGTATTGTCTTGAATTACTTACATGGTCAGGGCCAAATAGGGAGGTCACTGTAATAAGTGGGAAATACATACATGTGTACATACTATATGTAATCGCATGTACAGATACTATTTGTAATCGCATGTACAGGGCACCTCCCCAAAGCTTACACCGATTTGCATAATTTCTCTGGGTGTGACAGTCCCACAGATATACAGTGCCGATAAGAGTTGAAACTTACAACATACTGTTATGTACTGGATACCATAAATGTTTGTGGTTATCTTTTTTGGGCTTCAAACAACTTTGCGGGGAGCGATTTGAATGCGAGTACCGACAGAAAATCGTGTGAATGAATCATCAGTGTGCATTTTCGATAGATAGGAATTCTTTAATGGACATTTAAGTGAACAGGTAGGTCTTGCTTGTGACTCATGCGTTGACTCATTTAATTGGAGTCCTGGTATGAATTATGGCACGTGCCAGACTCTGATTACACACATGACATTTCGTTGAAGAGTGCGCGAGCCTTGAAAATGTAAGCAATAAATAATTTGAATACTACTGGGGGCATACTTATCATGTGAGAAAGAAAGGACGACGCTCTAGGCTTTAGATCCGATGCTAGATTAAATTATAATCAGTCATTGAGATGCCCCACTTTACGCGAAGTTCAGGTGGACGTGCACCCAAGCCATACGCCCAACAAATCATAGATATGGACTCTACTTGTTCCTTGACTTCTCCACTCGTATCCGTATCAAGCAGAAAACTTTGATCAAGGCCACTCAAAGCGGTAGTATTCCCCTGAAACCTAGCCGACAACTTCTGAAACATAATACTGAAACACATGCGGTACAATGTTACTCGTGTTGTTCCATATCTATAAACTAGCTTTATCACCTTGCCAACAGCAGTGGGAACCGATAATGAATGCTTCGAAATATATATATGGTATATGTAGCTATGACATACATGAATTCTTCACTATTAATTTTATTCCGATTAATTAATAGGAAAATCCTACGAAAGAAAATCGATTAGCTCTATCGTATAAATTCGGACTCCAAGCGATTACGATTTGAACTACTAGTATTACGAAACATAGCGGACAAGTGTTTTATGTTATATATGTATATTGTTTAGTAAAGACGACAACGGATATACGAATTAATGATTTGCACGTACACGTATTTTGATGGAAACACTAGGCATTAGCTTGGGGGCGGGGGGATCTGTTGACCTCCCGATAAAACAGCATTCTTAGCTACATGAAAAAGGCGCAAACGTTTTAATTGATATCACTTAAGATCCATTAAATGGATTTGATTCTGGCTCTCAGTGGCGTGTCACCGTTATCGTCGTTTCCCTGCTTTCCCTTTCTATGATTTTGTTCCACATGGCCTAACATTGGCAATTATATAAACAAACCACATTATATGTATGTATAAATACAGAATAGACTTGGACTTGGAAACTTTGAGATGAGTCAGGTGACGTGGACGGCAGGGGCTTCCGCTTCACAGTTTAAAGATTGCGTGCTCTAGAAGTTTACGATTGCTGGGAAAGATATCCGGGCCGACTAAATTTTAAATTTGAAACATAAATGATTACAAGAGCGTGACAATTACTCTGGCTTGCTTTAATTCTGTTTGAGTCTCTTGTCGCTCATCAAGAAAGAGACCCTCAAAAGCATGAGACCTCGCATCATAGAGCGATAATTCCACATAAATAGTAAAGTAGTTCTCGAAATATACAAGAAGATGGATCAAATTAGTCAAACAAACAACCCACATAACATATTTTTGATTACTGCCAAGCAATGTACTTATGATATCTTATGGTCAAAGGTTCTTCTTTCACATTACAGATCTCTCTTGTACTCGAAAAAGCTATTGTTCCTAGGAAAAGTATGGGATATACTCGTAGTTTGAATTGAATCGAATGTGCCTCAAGCTCTGTAGAGTTGAGTCTGAAACAGCCTAAAACAATCCTGCAAACAATCTGTACTACTACTGCTTCATACTACGCCTACTTACTTTATTCGGACAACTTCTGTCCGAGCTATTAACGATAGGTAATGAAGGTTCTACTAAGATATTACGTGAATATCAGTTAGATATGCATATTCTATTAGATATACTGATGCTATTTTGTTACAATAAATCCGAGTATTTAGAGCCCAGTCATCGTGGCAGACCGTTTTTGCTACGGAAATAAACCTTAAACCTTGAGCTGCCCTTTAGCTCTGGAACGCACTGTGTGTACATTTGTTCTGGCCCGTAATCCAAATTTGAAAATGCAATACCAGGTACAAGGCCATCCACATGACAGTGATAAGGAAGTCAGTTCGAGCCAAACAATGTGAATGCAATAAAAGTGGCTGGCAGACACCTGCTCCATGGGTTCCTTTGGCTCACCATCTGGCCATCCGCCCGTAACGCCAAAGAAAAAGCATTGAGGCACTTAGGTATACGACTTTTAGTCATACTCGTGGAACTGTTGCGATAAGATTTGACGCGAATCGAAATTGATTGATAAGTCTCCCCACCAGACCCCTGGAATCTAGATTGGCCAGTAGCGATGGCTAATCGGCAGATTAACTCGACATTCAGCGTGCCCGACTACAATGTATTCTGCCCTACGAAACAGCCTGCTTCCAATACCAATTCCGCTCCTCGAAAATTGAACTTAAATTCCTTTATGGCATTATCATACGCCAAATGGAACACAATGAAAAGCATGCACAAGGCGATTAGCCAGCATTGAGCGACTCCGAGCGGAGGGAAGTTGAGGTTCGGTTCGCTTATCAGTGGCGGACAGAGACGAGAGAGATTCTGGGGATGTACAATAAATACATATGTGCAAATGAGTATTGGAATATTCATATGTAGGAATGTGGGACAGCCTGCATCACAGCTGCAACATGTGCAGTAATCTCAATCCTAATGTCTTGGTTGTTCTTGCCCCCTATTGATTAAATTTGACTCGGGGTTGGTAGGGTACATAGCTTGTACCTAAGTACATATGTAGATAGATGTGAACAGAAAAGTCCTGTTCAATGTAAGCTACAGTGTAGTGGTGGGCAAGTCCTTGCTGCCAACTACTCCCTTCACTCCAATTGCTCCAAAAAGCAATGCGAATGTGAAAACAACATACATGGAGTGTGCGTGATGAGGTTCGCGTTTCCCTTATAAGATTTCTTGTTGTCCCAAAAAGCCAGCAAAAGTGAGTCCTCGGATCGAGTCAGGATCTAATAATATTTCACAAATCCACCTATTAAGAACTTCTGTAATAATGAGCTGTAACTTATATTGATGCCATGAATTGCTTACAGAAACCAAATACGTCCTCCAGGGTCCGACGGGCTACTTTAAGTCTGGCGAGCTGAGTGCCATCGTAGGACCCTCTGGTGCTGGCAAGAGCACACTGCTTAACATCCTCTCAGGATACACGTAATGTAACCCTGAACCTTATCCGGATTTCCATCCTTGCTTACCAGTTAAAGTTGTTCTTCCACTACCTAGAACATATGGTTACACGGGAGACTTTCGGGTCAATGGCAATCGACGGGACCTGAAGGCGTTCAAGCCAAATGTGGCCTTCATCAGGCAGGACACGAGTCTGCAGGCCTTCCTTACTGTCAAGGAGGCCATGAACTTTGCGGCTAACCTGAAGATTGGCACACATATGACGATTTCCGAGAAGCGAGAGCGGGTGAAGAGCATCCTGGAAGCCCTGGGGATGTACCAGAACCGCCATACGATGACAGGACAGCTGAGCGGAGGGCAAAAGAAGCGTCTGGCCATTGCTCTAGAGCTAGTGAACAATCCCCCCGTGCTAATACTAGACGAGCCGACCACGTAAGTTGTGCAGACTCCATAGTTCGGTATAGCGGAACGGAACTCACTTGATTTCTCATATTCAGCGGCTTGGACAGCTTTACCTCCAATCAGCTGATTAACCTGCTGAAGAAACTAGCCATCGAAGGACGCACTGTCATCTGTACCATTCACCAGCCGACGGCCCTGACGTTTGCCATGTTCGACTATCTGTATGCCATAGCCGAGGGAAGGTGCATCTACGCGGGCGGTTCACAGAACCTCCTACCCTTCCTGGGAGCCCTCAATCTGCATTGCCCGGAGTATTACAATCCAGCGGACTACTGTAATTTTGATAGCACACTCCTATCCCTATCCCATCGAATAATAAGTGCATTCTCTCGTAGTAATGGAGATAGCAACGCATGACTATGATACGGAAGATGAGAACCAGGTGGACAAGCTTGTGGCCCTAATTGACAATGGCCGAAATGAGGATTACAGGCAGAACAGAACCGCACGGGTCGCTCAATTGGCGGCCATGAAGAAAGTTGGTAAGAATATCCAATCAAATCTATACTGGCACTCTTCACTCACTCTCTGCTCTGTATGTTCCAGACCAGCTAATGGCAGCAGGACTGATCACACCAGTCACAGCTCCTGTAATGTCGACCTCTGGCCTTCCCGCGCACTACCACCAGTCGAGCAGCTTTAAGCCCCTGACGCCGATAAATGAGCTCTCCTCCCGTGTCTGGGACAGTCAAACGCCGGGCATTGGGAGCGGCGATGTCGGAAGCAAGTCCGGCGACAGTTGCTGCAAGCCAAAGAAAAATAAAAAGCCGAAGCCAGCAATAGAGCTAGATCCAAGCCATCTATGCAATCGTGATAATATCTATGCCACGCCATTCTATCGACAGCTCAGCATTCTGCTGCTAAGAACCTTCCTACTCATTTGGCGGGACAGTTCGCTAACGACGATGCGATTTGCCATACACCTGATCACCGGCCTGCTGATAGGAGCTTTGTATTTCGGAATCGGCAATGATGCCGCACACACACTCAACATCTTTCGCTACGTTTTCTACACGATCATGTTTATCATGTACTGTGCCTTCTCCGGGATACTCGTTAAATGTAGGCCACCCCATGCAGTTGATTGTGTGATGCCTTCGTCTAATTCTAATTCCAATTCTAATTTGTAGTTCCCTTGGAGTTCCCGATTGTGTCGCGGGAACACTTCAACCGTTGGTACTCCCTGCGAGCCTACTACGTGGCCATTACTTTGGCCGAACTCCCCATACAGATCATATGCAGTGCACTGTTCATAGTGCCCACGTATCTGATGACCCACCAGCCAATGGAGTTGTGGAGGTTCGGTCTGTTCTTCCTGATCGTGTTCCTCACAGCTCTGGTGGCCCAGAGCATTGGACTGGCGGTGGGAGCAGCGTTGAGTCTGAAAATGGGCTCCATTTTGGGACCCTTCTTCATTTGCCCCTTTCTTCAGTTCAGCGGGTTCTTCTTGATGGAGAAGGATGCTCCCGTCTACATGCGCTGGATGTTCGATATATCGTTTCTTAAATACAGTCTGGATGGAGCTATGATGGCCATTTTCGGGTACGATCGAGAGCGCCTCGACTGCCAGGAGATTTACTGCCACATGACGCGTCCCAAATATATACTCAAGAATTTGGACATGGCCGATGCCAACTATGAGTTTGCCATCATTTTTCTCTTCTGCCTGTTTGTCTTCCTACGCATCATTGCCTTCTACATCATGTCGTTTCGACTCAGACTGTTCAGATGATGAGGAGGTTGGCGCTGAGAAGCTTGCAGAAGAGGAAGGAACCCTCCTGCCACATTCCGATGACAGATTGAAGCTGGATTTAAATTTATGGTTTCTTTTTAAGCATTTATTTGAAAGGAACTTTTGTGCCAAAGATTGAAGAAGTCTAGAGTAGAGCATAAGGAAATCGTGATACATAACTGAAAACTTCCCCTCCCCTCCCATACACACATAAAACGATACACCACAGAGGTCAATACTGTATATGCCTGCATATAACGTTTTTATAACATACATAGTGTACACACAATTGTATTTTTGTATTGTATTAATGAAATGAACGATTTATTGACTAGTTTTAATGCGAGTCTGATTTTCAGACCTTATTAAAATACTTTCTTAAAAACGTAAAGAATAATTATTTTATAATTTCTGTTTCTGGAAAAAAACAAAATAGTTTTTTTTGACGAAATGGCTTATCTAGCGGAAGAAAGTGAATAGCTTCATAATAAAGTTTTATTTTTCAAAATTGTGAATGACAATAAACAAAGGAATTATTGTAATGACTTAAATCTTTGTTCATCTAAAAATAAAAAGCAATTTTTTTTGTGATATTCACATTTCGAAGACAGTAAAAATTATAAGAAAGAATTTCAGATGAGTATAATTATATAGAGTCTGAACTAGACTTAGAACCGGAAACATCAGAATGCAGCTTTGTACAATTTGTTTGTTTATGGAGCATACATATATACATAGTATATTCTTCAATATCCGCGTCATGACGATAAGACAGATCATTTGGCGTAATTGATCAGATCAGATCGGACCTCTATATCATATGGTGGTCCATTGTCCGTTACGTTACGATGTGCTCTGACTCCCACTCATGACTTACTTATTTTGTTTCATTGATTTTCTTTGAGCGTCTCTAAAATGAGTGGGAAGTGTTAGCTTCTTAAATATACCGTTATATTTCGCTCAATTTTTACGTCAAAATATACCTGATAGAGATGAAAAATATATCTATCGATATTCCTATAAATCTATCGGTAATCATATGAAACTCAAATTTGAAGTGTCCAAATTTATTGCCATTTATTGCAATAGCACATTGAAAAGACTGATGGCAGCTGCATCTAAAAAAGAAACCAAAACATGGTTTCCGATATTAATAAACTTTTCTACAAGACTGTAGAAAATATCATCACTGATTTCGCCAGCGAAAAATCGATCTTGCTCGAGTATAAAATCGAAATTGGTATTAGTTCTGCTACATGGGAACTACACAGAGATGAGTTTGACGCGGGGCACCTAGCGACGAAAATGGTCAAAATGTCCACTGAAAGTAATTGAAAAAACGTTGCGAGTTGTGCTGCGTTTTGAATATCAATGGAAAGTTCGCCCGCTGGTGATCGGGAGTGCGTCGCGTTACTCGCGAATCTTAATTGACTAAAGCTGATGCCCACGGGAGGGGGCAGCGAATCGTGACTCGAAGTTGACTTGTTTATTTACTATGCCATAGCCATAAACAATAAAGAGGCAAACCTGGAGGTGTTTAAATGGTTGGAGCAATAAGTACATATATAAATTTGCGTTCATTGGGAAAAACTTTCGAGCCCATGAGGAAAACCAGTTTTATGACCAACTGGAACGCTGCGAATAACTTGTGCAAAAATACGTAAATATAATATTAATCGGTTAGTTCCATTGAGCAATGCTCATTGCCTTTTGTAAATGCAAAATTGCCGGGTATACGGCTCTACACAAGAATTTACTGATAAGCAGCTGCTGCTGCTGCCGATGCAAGGCAAAATCCGTTCCCAAGTGCAATTTCAGTTACACATTTTGTATAATACGCAGTTTGATCTAGACATACATATAATGTATGTATATACACAGTGTTGATAAAAATGTTCATTCAAATGTGCGGCTTGGAGTGTCAGCGGTCTTTGTTTCTTGTTGCAAAAATTGTATCAATTACCCAATTAATAAATTGACCCGGGTTTCTCGCGTGTTGGCTGGCTGATGGATTTTTGGGAGAAGGGGTATGACACATGTTACAGACTCCAACAGTGTACATGTCGCCTCCCGAAGGGTAAATATTTATTCGCTGATAGTGCAAGTCTGTCAAATAAATTGCTGTACATTTGTAGATCAATGCCGCCAGTGGGCAGGCATTTTCCGAATACGCTTTTACTAGATTGCAGTAGTCTATAAGCCATCAGATAGTCTGATAATTAGCGAACCTCGGACAAGATCCACAAAGTTTAACCTGAAAAACAGCCTGGTACCTAGGCAACAAGTATAGTCGGGTTGGACGACTCTGATCAGATCCATCAAGTCTCGGGCGATAAGATTATCCATGATTCCCCCTGAGCGTCTCAGCCATTCGGCAGATAACCGAAAGCTCCGACTCGGCCGTTGGGTGTCGGGTGCCGGCTCCCAGGCAGGGGCAATCGCATCGAATTAGTATTTAAAATTAACTTTGCATTCAATAAGAGTTCACGAAAGCAGGCGGTTCAGTTTCGTTTCGGTGGTTTGTTGACCGCCTGGATGAGGGTGATATCTCTCGCATAATCAAACTTTACATTCTGTACAGAATCGATCATAAATAAAGAGCAGCAGACGTACAATGCCCGATAACGACAATGTTGGAGAAAGGCAAACAAATGGTTTGGCCCACAACAGAGAGCAGTCGTTGGAGCTGCATTTCAGCCAAGTCAACTACCACTTGAAGACTGGTAAGTGCTTTATCAAGCGCATTCGTCATATGCCTCACAATTTGCTACTCTCTCGTCAGCCACAAAGGGTTTCACTCAGATACTGAACGAAGCTTGCGGAACCTTCAAATCGGGCCGACTGACGGCCATTCTGGGCCCATCAGGGGCTGGTAAAACCACGTTGCTCAATGCTCTGGCTGGTTTCAAGTGAGTAAGCCAATTCACCGATCCTCCGGATCATTCGACTAAACACAAGCCTGTCTATGCAAACAGAATCACAGGAGTTTCGGGGCGGTTCCTTTTGAATGGTCGACCCAGAGATCTGATGGCCTTCAGAAAAATGTCGGCCTACATTGCCCAGGACTTTGTAATGCTGAATCTGCTGACTGTCGAGGAGACCTTGTGGGTCTCCGTAGACCTGAAGACGCCCAGCGCTAAAAGCGCGCAGGAGAAGCAAAAGATTGTAAGTAGAAGAAGATCACTGGGCAGGTAAACTGCTAATCACAGACGAATACTCCCTAGATAGATGACATCATAGACATACTGCAGCTCCAGTCCTGTCGACAGACTCTAGTGGGGAAAATCTCCGGAGGCGAGCAAAAGCGTCTGTCCATTGGCATTGAGCTCGCTACGAATCCCCCCATCATGTTCTTCGATGAGCCCACCAGTGGCTTGGACTGTGTGTCCAGCTACCAGGTGATCTGCCACCTGCAGCGCCTGTGCCATGATGGAAGGATTGTGGTGTGCGTGGTGCACCAGCCGGGCTCCCGACTCATGCAGCTGTTCGACGATGTTCTGGTCCTGGCTCATGGCGAGGTCTTGTACGCCGGAGAGCAGCGAACAATGCTGGCCACCTTCGAAGGGTCTGGCTTCACATGTCCCCAGTACTATAATCCAGCAGATTTTGGTATAATAAATTTGCAGATAGTACTCGTTGAGAATCCTAACGCCATTGCTTCTGCCCGCAGTGCTGGATGTGTGCAGCGAATCCTCCACCACACAGCGTTGTGAGTCGCTAATCTCCCAGAATAAGCTAACACATTGCCCCAGCGGGACCAACATCCAGAAGCTCAATGTGGGTGAGGAGGGTAAGTCGCACAGGCTATGCCTGACATTAAATCTGAGTGTGGCTAATCTTAAACAGACCCATCTTGCATCTTACATCCACATTGCATACTTTCTGTCCTTCTGTGTCCCTTACTCTGCTACTGTTTCCTCTGCTCTATCTGTCGCCCGTCCTTGCCTGCTTATCTTCCATTTCAGCAGCGCTCATCGAGATGCCCCAACAAGCTGCCTGGCCAGACCTGGCCCAGGTGCGAGTCAAGGAGCAGGTGGGGTTCTATTTCCAGCTGCGAGTGCTGCTTCGGCGCCACTTGCGCTCCATGTCCAGGGATATGGTGGGTGAATCATGGACACCGATCGCTGCGGATTAACTGTATACTTTTTTACCCTTCTTTCTCCACGCAGATTGCCGTCCAGCTGCGACTTATTATGCATGTTGTGGTCGCTCTGCTCCTGGGCGTGGTGTACTGGCAAATAGGCAGCGATGCCGCCAAAATAGTGTCCAACGTCTCTTGTCTGCTCTTCATCATTCTGTTTGTGTTCATTGGCAACGCCATGCCCTCGATCCTGCTATGCCAGCAGGACTCTGCGGTCTTCATCAGAGAATACTACAACGGCTGGTACTCCTTGCGAGCCTACTACATATCCAAGGTGCTGGCGGACCTGCCCCTCCAGCTGACCTGCCCCACCATGTTCATCAGCATTAGCTACTTCATGACGGGCCAGCCGCCGGAGTTCGAGCGCTTTGCCATGTGCTGGGCTGTCTGCGTGATGACCGGCTTTATTGGCCACTTCGTAGGCGTGATTTCCGGCACACTGTTTAGCATGCAGATGTCCATCTTCCTAGTGCCCAGCGGAACGATTCCGTTTCTCCTCTTCTCTGGCTTCTTCATTCGGCTGAACGAGCTCTCCTGGTTCCTGCGCCCCATCTGCGATTTTTCTTTCTTCCGCTACATATTCGAAGGTCTCCTGCGAGCCATCTATGGCTATGGCCGAGGCGACCTCGACTGCCATGCGAACTTTTGCTACTACAGAACAGCAGATCAGTTTCTCAGGGATTTCGGCATGGCGGGCGACGAGTTTGGCTGGGACATGGCTGTGCTGGGGATTTTCGTTGCGCTGCTATTGTTTTTCTTTTACGTGACAGTAAACTTTTGTGTTAGACGAGCGCTAAGATGACCCGCAAAGTACAATTTCTTAGTTTCCCAATGTAATTCTTGAAAATAAAGTATTTTTACAAGTGGAGAGCATCGCCAAGCTGGAACCTAGTCAATAGACACGCTGGATATGTCCATGGAGCTGGCCTCATCCGAGGGTGGCCGGTCGGTGGGATTCGCTGCCCGGTTCGACGTCCCAGGCGTCTCATCAACCACCGGTGTGGTTACGGTGGCTGTCGTTGTGGTGGTACTGCTCGCTGCTGGTGTAGGGCTTGCACGACTGGATTGCGATCGACGCATCCCTTCCGACAGAGATTGGCCCGCGCGTAAGGTGCTTGATGCTCCACTGGAGCCAGCGGTCGCAGCCGCAGTCGCAGTCGTCGTGGAGGTAGTCTTTGTCGCTATGGAGGTGAAGGGTACGCGTATCCGCATATCTGGCTGCTCCCATTCCATGTCCTCCTCCTCCCCCTCCTCGGAGCTCGTCTCGGCAGTGGCCACAGCAGAGGGAGTCTTGGACTTCTTCTGCCACTCGGCACTGCGCTTCCAGTCAATTGTCTTAAGCAGCGCCTTGGCTTCCGCTTTGCGCTAAAATTCAAAGACGAATTTATTATAATTGTTCCCACTTCTGGAGCAGTACCCACTTCATCAGAGTCCAAGCATTTGTACGCATAGTAGGCTGCCCTTTCGTAGTCCCCTTTCTTCTCGTAGTAGTTCGCTAGAGTGATGAAGCCTTGGTACAGGCTCTGCTTGTCTGTGGCTGCCCGCTCATCCTCGCAGTACATGATGTAGCAATGGACCGCCGTCTCGTGGTCGCCCAGCTTCTCGTGGAGACTGGCCAGCTTGTACATGGCTATGCCCTCGATGTCGCCCACGTCAATGGCCTTCCAGTAGCATTTCACAGCGTTCTCACACTTGTCCAGCTTCTCGTAGGTCTCTCCCAAGGCTACCAGCATGCGGGAGTCGTACGGGCGTAGTTGGTGGGCGATTTTGAAGTAATACAAGCTGTAATAGTGCATTTTAATGATCTCATAGGCCTGACCTAGGCCATACCACGCCCGATAGTCGCGCTTGTTAACCTCCACCGCTTTGCGGTAGCTCTGTATAGCAGCGTTTGTGTTTTTCAGTTCCATAAACTCGTGGCCCATCAGAGTCCAGGCAGCGAGGTATTTGGGATTTAGCTTCAACGCGCGCTGAAAGTAGGAAATGGCCACCTGATGGTCGCAGCGTATGCTGTAGTAGTTTCCTGGGTAATTGCAGAGAATGTTGTACTTAATGAAATGATTCTTTCGATGTGATGCGCCGAGATGCTCTTACCTATCACACAACACGTCTCAGGTCGGTATTTGTTGATGCTGACGGCCTTGTGTGCCAGCTGTGCCATTTCCGTTTTCATTTCTTTGACAAACAGCAAATTGGAGTAGGTATCGACGTTGTCCAGTCGGTAGGGATCGCTCTCCAGCAGAGCCTGATACAGTTCGATGGCCTTGTCTACATCCCTCTTATTGTGATAGACTAGGGCCATTTGAGCGATCAAATAAATGCTTTTACTGAAGCCCGACGTCTGCAGATCCTCGTAGATCTTCAAGCCATCATCGTTGAGGTACAATTCGAGGTAGGTGTGAGCCATGAAAAAGTGTCGCATCCAGTGCCCGCCAAGTTGCAGGCCGAGCAGCTTTTTTTTCTCCATAATCAAGGGGGAAAGCTCCAGGTAGGCACTCCACAGCATGGGAACTAGACGAATGGCGTGGACCAGCATTTGTTCGGCTGCTTGGTTCAGATCGAGGGCCTTCAGAACCACGCCATAGAGGTAGATTCCGTATCCATCCAGGCGGCTCTTACCGTACTCCGCTCTCAATGTCGAGAGGAGATCGGCCAAGTCACGCATCTGGTTTGGCTCGTTGAGATTGGCCTGGTCTGTTGTGGAGTCCAGGCGTCGCTTTTCACGTGCCAGATAGGTTGAGTAGAAGTGGAGAAATCGCGGCACACTCGACTCGCAGTTTCTCACGGCATGCGCTGCCCTGTCGTACTCGCGCACATCGTAGTAGCTTTTGGCCAGGAAGTAATCACTGTACTCCGCGGGAGCTATGCCCTCCAGCTGGCACTGGCTGAATGTGTGGTCGTCGTCGGGTGCTTCGTTATCAATTTGTACATCACTGAGCCCATGGTGCATCTCCGCCAGCCACTTGGTGCTGTGCAGGAGCCCCCGCTTGGAGCACTCGATAATCCCGCGCCGCAGCTCCTTTTTTACCTCCGGTAACAGCACGCTGAAGAACTCCTGCATTTTATTTTGCAAAAAACAATATTTTCATTTCACAATTTCAATTCATTTGCCGGTCTAGGGATCAGTGTGACCGCGGATTAATCGTCAAAATATACGGTCCGACCCTCAGAAAAATACCGAAATATACCGTTTTATTTTAAAAATATACCGTAAATATACTGACGAATTCAAGTTCTCTTATACGATTCCTCGATTTTGATATTCCGTCGAATATTACTAGCTATCTAGACCCTGCCCAAATCATTTTATCCAATTAACGAACACATTTTCCAATTGACTTGCTTTTATTGCATTTTGCGTAAAAAAAGGTTTTAGCGAAAAAGGTCAAACAAATTAAACGTATAAAACGTAAGAGAAAAATCGTTCCAATTGTTCAATATCTTTATTCCGTTGAATAATGCTGCCTAACTAAAAACTTTAGCTTTGTCCATGTAATTTAAGGCCATTGATGAATACATTTTTTACCTGATTGACTCTTTTAAGTACTCTCTTTTATTGTATAGTGTAGAAAACAAGGTTTAAACAAAAAAGGTCAACAAAAAACAGTGGTAACGTAAGTGAGTATGGAATGCGCCGCCCTGCACTGCTTTCGTTTGGCCAGTGTTCAGTAATTCCAGTGGAAAAAGAAAAATAGAATTGCGGATCATAACAAAGTATGCAAAAACGATAAGGAGCAACAACAAATATTATTAAAAACTGCCTCTTTGTTTAAATATTGTCAGACAAGCGCGTATTCCCATCGAGGGAGGGAATTCAACACTTCAAGCTCCGCTCCCCTACAAATACTTCGCTTTCAGTGTCAAGGGTCATCACTTCTTTGTTCCGTTCCCCGTATGCCTTCTCTCTTCCTCCTCATTACTGACTTAAAACTGCGCAAACAAACAACAATATTTAAATAATTTATAACAGCTTGTCGTTATTGGCTGATTCATTTATTTCCGACTGACGGTGTTTACTTGTTAAGACCTTTATCTGTGAACGAGTCAGTGGCGCTATTTTTCGATTGGACGATTATCATTCGCCGCAACGCACAAGACGCATTGCACCATGAGACTCCGCTCTGGTATCCTTCTGGTGGTGCTACTGACCATCTTTTTGGAAGTAGCGGACTGCTCGTGGCCCTGGCCATTTTCCAGGAAGCACAAGCAGAATGTGCCTCCGCCGCCACCCACGCCCCAGCCAGAGCCCAAAATGTCCCCAGTAATATTTGGTGAGTTTATTGATTTTCTGCCCAAGGACGACCGAGGATGACCTTCTTTTCGGATTTTAGTGCCAGGTGATGGTGGCTCCCAGCTCGATGCCCGCTTGAACAAGTCGAGTGCTCCCTACTTCGTGTGCGAGAAGACCCATGACTGGTTCAATCTCTGGCTCGACCTGGAGCAGCTGGTGATTCCAATGGTGTACTGCTGGATAGACAATGTCAAGTTGTACTACGACAAGGCCACTCGTACAACGCACAATACCCCGGGAGTGGAGACACGCATACCTGGTTGGGGCAATCCCGAGGTGGTTGAGTGGATAGATCCGACGCGGAACAGTGCTGGAGCGTATTTCAAGGACATCGCTAACGTGCTCGTGGGCATGGGCTATGAGCGGAAACTGAACATACGCGGAGCACCCTTCGACTTCCGCAGAGCACCAAGTGAGATAATTTGAGTATTTCAATGCAAGTACGTGTTGGTAACTGTCTGAAAAATCTCTGCAGATGAGAACAAACAGTTCTTCATCGACCTCAAGCAGCTTGTCGAGGAGACCTACGAGGTGAACAACCAGTCAGCCGTCACCTTCATATCGCACAGCATGGGCAGTCCCATGACACTAGTTTTCCTGCAGCAACAGACCCTCGAGTGGAAGAACAAGTATGTGCGGCGGCAGATAAGTCTCGCCGGCGCGTGGGCTGGCAGCGTAAAGGCAGTGAAAGTCTTTGCTATGGGCGATGATCTGGACTCGTTTGCTCTGAGTGCCAAGATCCTGAGGGCTGAGCAGATTACGCATCCTTCGTCGGCCTGGCTACTGCCATCACCGTTGTTCTGGAAGCCATGCGATGTTCTGGCCACGACCCCCTCTCGTAACTATACTATGGCACAGCTCAAAGAGTTCTTCAACGACATTGACTACATGACGGGCTGGGAAATGCGCAAGGACACGTTGCGCTATACCCAAAACTTCAGTCCCCCCGATGTGGAGCTGCACTGCCTATACGGCGACGGGATAGACACAGTGGAAAGGTACCCTATTTGTGGCAAGAGATGTGCACATTCATAAAACCATTCCATATCCAACAGATTACAGTACAAAAAGAACGATATTGCTGGAGAAACGCCCAAGCTGATCATGGGTCCGGGCGATGGCACTGTGAACCAGCGATCCCTACGGGCCTGCAAGTACTGGTCGGGCTACACGAGCTCCCCCATATCGACGCTGGCCCTGCAGGGAGTGGACCACATGAAGATCCTATCGCATGAAGATGTTCTCCAATATATTCGCACTGTCATGCAGCAGCCGTAGTCAGACAGTAGTGGATTCTGGTACGAAATATCCAAATTGATGATCAGTGTAAATCCTTACGATCAAATAATGCCAATTTTAATGTTAAATAAATGTGATTGTTTAAGTAGCACAAGTCGAAACGTGTTTTCTAGTGCAGACTACTGCCTGTCCGTCCTCTACGCTCCCCTTCCCGCCCGCAAGCAACTCGTGGAAATTGCATTTTCTTTAATTTATTCTTTATTGTTATCTTATTGATTTATGCTTATAAGATGAGATATCGAATCACGTGTTAATGTTAATGTCAATGTATAACGCTCTTTATTTCTCATTAGTGTTTCATTGGTTTCGTTTTCATTTTCATTTCATTCGGGTTTAGTTTTTATTGGTTTTCATTTTCATGTTCCTTTTAATAAATCGTTTGTTTATATGTATTTTACAAAGCGTTTACTTAGATGTATTTCCTTTTAATCATACCGAATAATCTGTTTTATTGCACTAGTATTTAATTCTCTTCTGTTCTCTCCTCTCTTCTCACTTTCCCCTCCACCTTGCTAATTTATTGTAGTTGACATTGTTCTTTACTCTTGGTATATTTCCGTTTAGGGTATGCGGAATGCGGTATGCTCTTGCTTATGCACTTAAGTACGGTTCAGGGTCGGGGTCGGGTACTTCGATATCCGTATAGATATCGAGATATTGAGAAAAGTGTCCTCGAAGGGGGATCTTTAACTTCTCTTTAGGAGCTTAGGAGTTTCGCTTGCATTTTAGGAGAAAACTAAAGTTTTTGAATGATTTGCGTGTCCTACACGTACGTGGCTTTAGATAAAATCAAGAAATATATATATATGCATGTATATTTACAAATTGTCTCCTCATACAAAAACCGCTCTCTAGGCTAAGTGTGGACATTTTCCTAGAAATTGTGGCTGCCTGCGGCCTGCGTCCTGCGGGCTGGGCTCTCGCTCTCTCCAAAGCATATTACTCGTATTTTATATTTCTTCTTCAGTTAGGTGATCAATTTGTGCGGGTGTTTACTTTACGTTTCTTGTTTGCTAAATATATACATACACCGTTTATATATTTAGTATATATTTGATTTTATGTTCCTGCGTGTGAGTGTAATGTGTGTGTGTGTGTGTGTGTGTGTGTGTTGTGAGTCTGTTGAGAGTTGCATTTAAAAAATGTTTTCTTTTGTTTTGTTTTGTTTTTTGTCTGTTTTAGTATTTGATTTCGGGTGTGTTTGTCTTTGTTCAACAAAATTTGTGCTCTCGTTCCATAGTTGCAGTTAGGGTTTACATACGTTTGTATATACCATATATGTATATGTAGCTATAAGTATGACGACGTGCTCTCGTCCGACTCAAATCAATGCGATCTCAAAATCAATAGCCCAAAAAATCCTCAGCTTCGAGTTCAAAGTTCTGCGCTCTCGTTCAAAGAGTTTTACGTTTAGTATAAAAAATCATTATATCGAAAGTATAAAAATCGTATTTAGCCGTACATACTCTCTCTTCTTTCTCTTTACGTTTCTCTCATATTTTAGTTTTGTTTTCGGTTTTTGTTTTTGTTTTTTTTTCTTTTTATTTCTGTTTTTTTCGTTATTAAATCTCTGTTCTTTTTCGTTTTCTTAGCAAAAGCGGGTGTATCTTCTTCAAGCAGGTATTCGAATGTTACTTGGCAGGATTATTATTTTCCATAGTACATATATATATAATATATTTGTTGTTAAATAGTTTTTTATAAAAGCTTTGTGTTCGAGTTCTGTGTGAGAGTGTGTGTGTGTGTTGTGGATTGTGTATGCATGTGTTTCTGTATATATGTATGTATGCGGTGTTCCTAGGCCTGTTCTGTTCTGTCCTGATCTGTTCTGCTCTGTTCTTTTGTATAATCGTATTTTGTTTATTTGCATTTGGTTTGGATTTATAGCTAGTTATGCTTCGTTATTGTTTTATCAGATGCAATATTTAGAACTCACAATAGGCGACATTGACATTGACGACATAGCTGGCTAGTTAATTAATTAATGAAATAATTAATTACCGCTGCCCAATAGGTATCTACAATGGAATTCGCTATCAATGGGATCAATGATATCGAAATTGATTATTCTTAAATACACTTTGTATTACATTCCTTTTCTTTTGGTTTTTCATCTTGTAATTAAATTAATTAAAGCTTTTTCGTGTGTATGTGTCTGTGTGTGTTTTTAATCTTGATTCTAATAAAGTGTATATATCTGTAATGAGAAAACTGAACTTCATCCGAATCCGAATCCAAAAACAAAACCAAACCGAAACCAAACCAAATCAAATCAATGAAAGTGTAAATGAAATCCTATTTACAATTGGATAATTTACTACTTACTCGCTTATCTACGTTTAGTATTCATTTCAATTTGATCGAATTGAGTTGTTCTCATCCCTCATCCCCGTCCCTCGGTTACGGGGGCTGCTTTAACCATTAACTAGGCTCACTATTTGCATTCACTATTTGCTTACACATCAGATTTATCAATGTCGTTAATACAATTGAATTGCCATGAATATATTGCTAATATAGTTCCTTTCAAGGACCTTTGGGGGCCAGATCAATAGACCTGCCATCCAGACTACCATCCTCATACCATCTCATCCCATTCCATTCCATCCCAACCCATCCCATCCCATCCCGAAAGGAACCCTGATTGGTGCTTCGGCTGGCCGAGACTACTTATTGCATAACAATATTATCCATCTTAGAGTGTAACTAGCTCTCCTCGGCTGGCTCTGTTCTCCTCTCCTCTCCTCTCCTCTGCTTTGCTTTGCTTTGCTTACTTTGCGTTTGCGCTACACATTTGTAATTGGTTTAGATATCTAGGGCTAGGTTAAGGTAATAATTCTTTCCTCTGTGGCTCTAATTTATCCAAATCATCATCACATATCAAAAAGTTTACAAAAATTTCACTTTAGCTACAGTTTCTCCATTCTCCGTTCTCCATTCTCCACCTTGCTTTATATTGTTTATGTTTTACGTTTAGTTCATTTCGTGCGCTTCGAATAAAACATACAACAATAGACCGTCCGTTCTACCGGCGGTTATGGTTCTCGACCTTAACATCTTATCTTGTTATGTCTTTCGTTAATGATTAACATAATCAACAGGTTGATATATATTCTAAACAAATTATTAGCTTCGCTTGTGGTTTCGCAGACATTACGAATACATCATATCGTGCAAACCGTAACGCTCCTTCCTTATTATCGACTAACATTGGTTTGCTCAGCTTTACATTTTCATTTTCATTTTCACTTCGATTTTCATTTGATCATTTTCCGTTCTCGGGAGACTTTTCGCTAGTGTACGTGTGGGCATGTAAAAGGCATTTGTTCGGTTCCTCTGATTTCTCCTTTAAAGTTATTTGTATTTTAAACATTCGTTTGGTTACATGCTCGCACATATGTACATAAGTATTTATGCATCCACAAGGGTAGACAAGGGTCCTGCCTGCTAGGCGCTTGCTTCTCCGTTGGAAGAACAGAACTCAACTCCTCAGAAAACCCAGAACGCGCACCTCAGTCGATCGGGGAGCGAAATAAATGATGTTTTGGTTGTTTGGTTGAGTTCCAATCAGCTAAATCGTATCTATCGTATTTATTTGGTAAACTAAAGCGTGATCTGAGGCGCATTAAGTTCGCGCAGTGATATAGTTCGATATAATCGTGTGTTCGTGTACTCTCGCATATGCTCCAAACAAAATTGACATTTCCAAACTGGTTTATAAACTAATATTGCTCTTGGTTAAACGAGTTAAGAGTTAAGCGATCCTTTGTGTCTAGTAGTCCCTTCGGGGTTTACTTCTCTTGTGCTGTAACAACAATACAATTCCTTATTAGCTTACGAGTCCAAACGAAGGTCTAGTTCAAACAGAAACAGAACGATTCGGTTGCTTAGAGTGTAAATCAACAAAATTGTGTCTAATTGATGTAACAATTGCTTTTGTTTGGTTTATGTATCAACAATCAATCCAACGCGCACGCCACCGGTCGCAAAACTCTACGAGTATTTCTATTTGCATGTAAAATGTGTAATAAACAGACAAACGGACAGGACAGGTTGAAATGCCGGGGATTGAACACACAAAAATGCACGGCGTGCGCGTCCCTCCTTCCATTTGACGACGCTTTAGCTTTAATTAACATTATTCACAATTTCTTTAGTTATCATCTTACTATACAAGCTCTCTCTCTCTCTCTCTCTCTCTGTCGTCTACGATTTGCGTAATTCGTTAACAATATTCTGCCTACTGTACTGAATGATTCCCGAACACTCGTACAACTTTCGACCCAAGCTGCGTTCACCTAAAAGAAATCTCTGACAGAGAATTTACAAATCCTTGAAGCATCTGCTGAAGTTGGGGAAGCGTTTGAACAATTTTACATGTAATTGAGTTACAATTTTCTTCATTTAAATTTTCTGTTAAACATTTCATTCGTGTGAACAACTTATTTGGAGTTTTATGCCTTTCCTTCCGTTCCGTGTATTGCAAAAATGTGCAAATGTCTATCTGTGTGGCTCGTGTCTGCTGGCGTATAAAAAATTGTTACTAATATTTGTTTGCGTTCACGTTTAGCGTAGACAAATTGTACAGAATGACGTTTCGTTCCGTTCCATCGAATGATTGGATTTGGAATGGTATTGGTATTGGGATTGGGTGCTACGATCGGGTGTAACGACTGTCGTTCGAAATGGAATCTCTTGTTGATATCGCAAATGAGAACAGCGACCAAATAAATTAGCCAGGCACATGTTGAATCTCAATCTCTGAACTAGAGCCTGGCCCAGTGTCAGACGGGGTGGCTCTGACTCTGACTCTGACTCGCCTGCCCGTTCTTCGAGGGGGCGGAGGTCTTCTGCTGGCGCGCCACCAGTCGACGCTCCCGCCAACGGTCGATGGGCGTGTAGCAGCACCTGAAGAAGGGGGGCGCCCGCGCGCTGGACGAGCTGCTGCTGGCGCTGGCGCTGTTGCTTAGCTTGGCCAGCGACTCCACGGTCAGCTCCGTCTGCACGCCACTGGTGGTCAGCCGCGTCTCCGCCTGGTACTGGTACTGGTACAGGGGCGGCGGAGTCGCGGCCAGGGGGGCACCCGCCTTGCAGATGACACTGGGCGGCTCCATCTCGTGCAGCTCAAAGCTGTTTGAGCTGCTGTTGGTCGAGGGCCGGAACTCGTGCGAGCTGCTCTCGACCATGGCAGTGCGATAGGTAGCGGCAAAGTAGTTTGTCTCCAGGTAGTGGCAGGACTCGAACAGATAGTCGTCGAACTGCTGCAGCCGCACCGAGCTGGCGGCACTGGAGTTGTGCCCGCCAGAGGCAAAGCGCTGGCTCTGCTTGTGCGACTGCGTGGATGGTGATGGCGGCGATGGCGGCATCATTATCAGCGAGCTCGACGCCATGGGTGGACGTGGACGCGGAGGCGGACGCTGTTGTCTTTGCTTCATATCAACAATTTCTATTTCTTCTATATCACTAAAACTATTTAACTGTTTCAACAAATAATGCACATCATTTCGTTTCATTTGATTATCCTCGTCGTGGTGGGGATGATCATCGTTAAGGGCGACTGCTTCGTTATCCTCCTCTTCCTCTTCCTCTCCTGATTCTGGTTCTAGTTCTGCTACCTCTCCAGCTTCTTGTTCTTCCTCCTGCGCCGTTGCTATCGATCTGTGTGCTGCAAATGTTAATGGAGTGCTGGCAACGGCGCCTGAGCCACGATCTAATCTTGGTGTCCCCTTGAGGGTGTTGATCTTCCTGATCGCATCATGTTGCTGCTGCTGCTGATGTTGCTGCTGCTGCTGTTGTTGCGGCTGCTGCTGCTGCTGCTGCTGTTGGGGAATCAACTCTGGATAGGCCAAATTGAAGCGCTGCTGCAGTGTGGCACTGCTCAGCTGGGGCAGCGTTGTCACTGCCGCCGCTGCCGCTGGGGCCCTCTCCAGGGTTGAGTCGATGATGCGGTTGAATTTAGCTAATGCACTTGATGCTGCGGCTGCCGATGAACTGGATGCTGCCGATGGTGTTCTGGTTGCGGTGATCTTAGTTGTAGGTTGTTCGTTAAGTTGAGGCACTGTTGTGACGGTTCGTAGATTATCACCAGCACGATGGCAACGCCCACTGCCCTGAGCGTTATCCGCGACGACTACTGAGCTGACGGACTGAGACTCCTCCTCCTCCTCTTCATCCTCCTCTTCCACGCGGAACTCAGCCTCAGCCTCATCGTCATCGCAGACGTCCTCATCAACATCATCAATATCAACGCCATCCTGCAACGTCTCCTGCACATTCAAATTGAGATTGAGGTGGAGCTGCTGCCGGAGCAGCAGGCGGCTCGTCTTCGTCTCAAAGCCAGGCACGTTCGGTGGTGCGCCCGCGCCTCCCCCCAATCCGCGGCCGGCGGCTATGACGGCCGCCGCCCTCTGCTGTGCCGTTGCCTTAGCTAAATTCTTTTGTAGTATCAACCTCCTCGACGAAATGATGTCATTATTGTCGCTCCCCCGCGATTACCGGCTGTCGCGGGTGGAGCGAGGCCGCCCCTAACTGGACGTGCTGGCGATGGGCGAGACGGGTGACAGCGGGCTGCGGGCCTGCTCGCGCGGGCAGCCTGTCAGCGTGATCACCAGCTTGCGGGAGCCGGCCTGGTCGCGGTGCTCGCACAGCCAGACGCCCTGCCACGTGCCCAGCGAGAGCTTGCCGTCCGTAATGGGGATTGTCAGTGAGCTGCCCAGGAAGCAGGCCTTCACGTGTGCGGGCTGCAAGTCACACAAATACAAGGTTCATTAGGTAAATCTGCCACAATCCAGAGAATGGCCTGTCGCTGTGGACTCACCATGTCGTCGGGTCCCTCGCACGAGTGTCTGTAGGGCAAGCCTTCGGGAACTATTTTGTTCAACATCATCTCCATATCGTCTCTGCAAAGCGGATAGTCTCCGGATTAGCTCAAGTGATACATATGTATAGATTTTAGGATCCAATTCGCTCACCTGACGTCTGGATCCCAGCTTTCGTTTAACGCCAAACTCGCCGAGGTGTGAAGAACTGCAAGCAGAGAAACAAAGTCAATTAGTGTGCGGGCAGGCGCTGTGCGACTAATCGCAATCATAATCATAATCTGTGGAGTGATTGGTCGGTCTCCTGGTTATTAGACCAGCACGAGGCGTTGGCTTGGCTCGGCTCAGCCACCAATGCATTTGCAATTGAGTTGCAACGCCAATTAGTCCCCACACTTGCACTCAGCGGACCCAGCAGTGGGAGGCCAACTAATGAAAGTCAGGCATGGAATGTTAATGGATACTTTTCATGGATTATATGACAAGGCAAGATCATGTATGCCGTGAGCATTTGGAATGCACTCGAGTGTAAGCGTCAATGGGTGTTTACCCCATTTTATGAGCCACTGAATGAACACAAGATGCATTTTCCACGTGTGCGGGGATTTTACTTTCAACAGTCTCCTGTATGTTTTATCCCCATAAACTAGAGATCTGCGTGGCTTCACTCACACCATCCAAAGTCCAATATAATGCATTTGATTCGAATTGAGTGACTGCCAGGCATTCACAGCATTCGGTACTCAGGGATACTCGATTAAGTTCGTTTGAAATGAAAGAAATGGCATATCCAAAGATATTCGATGTATTTTGAGACATCCCCTTTCATATTTTTAAGATCAGTGACTTCAGTCGGTTATTACAAAAGAGTTGCAAAATATAATTAGCTAAGGGTTTTTAGAAGGCACTGTAGTCGAGGTTGGGAAAACCCTTGGATTTAACCCTCTAATGGGTTAAGAAGGAACGCTTTAAAGGCTGATAATTCCAACTAGAGATTTGAGTTCGATCTGTGGGCAGTTCCAAAGTGTCTATGTTGCTTTCTGATTTACTATGATACTAATAAATGTGTACATAACTACAATATAGCTCCTCGAGTACCAGGGTAAGCTCTCAAACAAAATACAATCATCTCATAGCTTAGACTTTCACATGGCGGCCCTGTTTTCTGTGCAACAATGCCCATGTCTTATTCGGAATCACTTTCTTTGACACATTTATCGTATGGCATGTGGCATTGCCCAGGTAGGGCCCGACATGGGCATGTGTGGACATCGGCATCGGAATCGGAATCGAACAACAATTGCCTACACTCCGGGCCGGAATTGGCCAACTGCCAGCGCCCAAATGGCAGGCAGAGCCCCCAAACTGAATAGTTTAAACTGTGTTTAGTGTTAATAATAAATATGAGTGGAAGAGCCCCACAAAAACACTTAAATTTGCACACTAATTGCGTATTCATGAATAAAAGACAGAGACACAAAGAGGGACTGGGTTGGATGATGGAGAGGAGGGAAAATTAGTTTAGTCAAATCCCCGAGATGTAATTTTCCGGCCTAGAGCCGGTGTTTGTGGGCATAGAACCCGAAAAATCCAAAATAATTTGAGAAACGATTAGATTATGTCATGTTGAACACGTGCACGTGTCAATGGCATCGGGAATTCGAAGATTACGTATACGAGTACGGCGTACAGCTGGCGGGGCCTGAGGACACTCGGACAATGCAAACGAAACTCAAAGTGACAGTCGAAGGGCTACAAAGGGAGGGGAACAATTTACAAATTGATTGCAGCGGGGCGCCTGGAAAGGGATGAGAAAAGGGGAACAAGCCCCCAACACTAAGTCGGGCCTCAAACACTGTCTAAACACACAGACATATTATGTACACACACATGTCCCCATCGCATCGCAGCACATCAGCCCACCGCACCGTTTTAAATATGTTAATGGCCTAAGCATAATTGTGTGTGTCTGCGATGCCTTTGAGTGGCATTGGAGCAGGAGCAGGCGCAGGAGGAGGCTCCACGCCACTGTTCGCTTAACTGGCGCATCCGCCTGGAATAGTCCTCGACTGACACTTTTTTCCCATTGCACCAAACCATAAACGGAATGCAATGCAGGGCCCGCCACACGGCACACGGCACACGGCAGGAAAGCGGAAGAGTGCTAAGCGGTGGTCGGACCGCGGCTCGAGGGATGCCTCTAATATGATTTAGCCCTGGAGTTAGCGGTGGGTCGGGGTCGGATCCGGATTCGGAGTAGTGTGGCCTGCGTCAGGGGTCCTGCGGAACAAGGGCCCTGTTTGCCTATGGCAGCCAGCCACAGCGAAGCCTCGCGAGCTAATAAACGCTTATGCGCTGAACGAAATAGTCGAGGCAGTTGATAGGCATTAACTGAGTGGGGGTATAAATCATTATGGGCTCCTATATAAACTAGGATATGTAATGCCTAGTGATCAGGGGTGAACAGTGGTCCTTCCTGCGGTGTATCCCTATCCTTCCTGCTCCAAATCCAAATCTGTTGCAGATATTTTGCCTCAGTGTAGGAGGCATCGTTAAGTAGCAGGTGGCATCGTTTTTGCCGGCTGTTCGGCTGTTCTGCTGTGTCGGGCGGGGCTTTGGGGGTTTGTCTGTGTTCCGGGCACATGTAGCAGGCGGTTAGGCACTACAAAAGTTGCTAATGTTTTTAAAGAGGCCTTTTTATTATACAAAGTCAAACATTCTGACGGCCCAAGCCCAAACACAGGCATAAAGCACACACACACACACACACAACCGCAATAATCTCATACTTGTACATGTGTGTGTGTGTGTAAATATGTATTTACATACATACAGTATATATAAGGATACCCCTCATGCTCAACAATGGGCTCTGCACAACTCAACTTGACTCGGATCTCGACTCATTCATTCATTTAAGCCCGTACAAACGCGTACAATACGAGTATACAGACACACATACACACACAAGTATTCGTACAAACACGCACCCACCCACACACAGACAGCCAGAAGTCACGTGAGTGTATTGTGCATTACATAATGCTGTGGATAAGGAAGCGCTTAGATGCAACAACCATCTTATTACAGCCGTATTACAGGCAGGAATCAGGGAACACCCCGCAGCGGCAGTGGCAGCGGCAGGTGCTGCTGCACCCAAACGGAACCAGTTCCAGTTCCATTCATATCACGGGAATCAAAGACACGGAACAGAGCACTCTATTCAAGTGCTGATGTACCCGAGCCGTGCAGAAATCGGAAAAATCCCAGCGGCAGGTGCTGCTGCACCCCAGCGAAATCAGTTACAGACCTTTTTGCATAAATAATATTGATTTATTGGCAGCGCAGCATTTGCGGTTCATAAGCGAGCGATTTTAATGCTAAGCAAGACCCCAACACGAACAGCAACACCAGCAGGCCAGAAGAAGCCAGGCGGGCACAAGCAGGCAGGAACGAAACGGAACGGAACGAAACAAAACGAACAGAACAAACGCACACAACGGAAGCCGAAAGTATGACACACAGCACACATGGCACGTTTTTTAGCTGCCTCCTTTTGCAGTGCTTTCTTCTCGTTTGCTCTTTCCCTTTCGCATTCTCGTTCGGCGTTGTCGTCACGAAATTGTATCCAAAAAAAGAAAGAGAAATGGCGGAGGACGCCCACACAAATATATTCCTAATGCTGAAGGCTCCACCGAAACTCCCTACTTCATTCGGCACTCCTTCTCCGCCGCTCTCCCGTTCGCCTCCTCAAATTGGTTTCGCTTTCGGTTTCTGTTGATTTATTTGGTGTGTGGCTCCTCTTTCGCCCCACGCACACCCCCCAAAATGACATTCGCTGGCGGAGGGAGTCATTTCCCTGTTGTTCTTTTGCAGCTTTCCCCTGTTCCACCGTCCCTCTGTTCCATTTTTGTTTGAGAAATATACTCGGGTCCTTTGTAAATTGAAGTTGAGCCATTTATGTACATATACGATCTTGCGATTATGAAGCAAATTGCTGTCGAGGGCGTCAGTCTATATTCGGAGAGTATATCCTTAAATGTCATCAGAAACTTCACTTGAAACGACGACTCAACAACGATGACTTTAAGCTTTAACGGAACATGTGAACGTAGAAATGTATCTTTAGCTCTGATTCAGGGCAATACAAGTTAAAGTTTCGAGTCTGCTATGGTTCCTTTTTTCGTTATTTAACAATTCCTGTCAATCCTTAGCATACCACTCCCATTGCTCCCACACAATACGGCACATTTGATGCTCGACTCGAGACGCACAAGCGAATGCTGCAAAAGAGAATGTTCGGGAATTGCAAGACCCGTCACGTTGATTCTCGACTCGAGATTCGCAGGGAGTTGTTAGTTTTTATTGTTGTTGTCAGACTCCTCTCAATTTTACAGAGTAGTATGATAAACACTTCGAAGTTTCATAAATCCTATTCGAACTTTTAGTGTTCCAGTGACTGTAACTTAAAGATTAGATCTTGCCTTTGAAGGTAGGAAACCAAGAGGTTAAAAAAACCAATCGAAACATTCATTAGGTCCACCTTAACCAGTCTTATTATTGCTGGTCGGCCCCAAGTCCCTTTTACCTTCTCTGAATCTAACATTTGAATAAGGAATTGAACGAAAGCCCAAACAAATCATGGAGTGCCTCCCCCCACCAATTAGTTTTTCTATACGCGAGAATGCACGATTATTGTGCCTGGAAATGGAGAGGCGAGGTCCCTGCTGTACGTATGCAGGTTGCAGCGCCCCCTTCCCCCCGGATGAATGGTCATTGTGTGGCCAGACAAGTGTGAGACTGTCTATAGGTATGTACATATGTGTTCCGATGTGGGCCCCGACCTTTCTGCACACCGAAGGAAGTCTGTATGAATATTAATAATACGAAGGAAAAGGGCCAGCAAGGAGGCAAGTCACTGCGGGAAACTATTGTATGTATTCCGCTGTTTCTCCCCCCGATTCAGGCTCTGGTGGATATATCATTTTTTTAGTATTTCCCCGCATTCCATTATACTTACATATTTCTTGTTTGTTTGTTTGTGTTTCGTGCTTCTGCTTCTCGTTTTGCTTCGGGTTTTTTTTGTGTTTAACAAGTTACCGTTACATTTGGCTTATATTTTGTGTATTTGTGATTTGTGTGTCCTCTGGCACCTCTGCCCCATCCCCATCCCCATCCCCATCCGCTATCCGCTCCCTCCATTGTTTGTGCATTTCCCCATAGAAACAATGGAGGACATGGGCGGTACGAGGGGAGGGTAGGGTAGTGTATTCAGGTCAATAGTAAAAGACAACAACATATGGCAAGGTTGCTTTGAAATTATTTTTCCTATTTTTTTTTTTCGAAATTAACTTTTTTTCCGCCTCGCCAAGGGACAGAGATTGAAAACGGAAAGAGAAAGGGAAAGACCGAATGATTGCATTTGGTTTTCTTTTTTTTTTTTGCATGGCAGTAACCTTACCTCCTTTGCCCCCCAGTATGTAGTGTAGTATCCTCCCAGTAAAGTGTGTCTAATTAGGAAGTCCTTTTAAGAAAATCAATAAACATGTCTTGACCTCAATTAGATTCCGCTTACAGTTCACAAAACAATACACGTACTACAGTGAGCACCCCAGACAACAAACACGCACAAGAGATCTTACAGAAGGAAGGAAAAGGACAGAGGGGCAGGAGAAGGAGAGTGGTGCTATTGAGGGACACACGTGCTTTTGATTTGGCCAAAAGACGAAGCGAAAGAAAGAACGAGAAGAGCAGACGAAACAGAGAGAGAGAGAGAGAGAGAGAGCGCACAGAATGTTCGTAATAATAAAGACCTGCCTTCCTGCCTGCCTGCAATGTGCTGGCTAAGACGATTTGTGGCCCAGAGACGTGGCAAAGGGGTATGTAGGGGGAGGGGCAGGGCAGGGCTGAGCTGGGCAGGGGTTCGCCCCGAGCATTCACACGCCATAGCCACAGACCATGACATGAAGACGACGACGATTGCTTTTCACTTTAGTCAACTTTAGCCCCAACTCCCTTTCAGCCTTGCAGCGAGCCCTGCCCCTACAGCGCCCCTGGCCTCGCGCGTCAACGGGCGTTTTATGATACGATTTTATTTATTTGCCCACGGAGCAAGACCAAGAGGGAGAGGGAGAGGCAAAGGCAAAGGCAGAGAAGCCGCAGCACTGAACGCGCGTCCTGGCATTGTAATACGAACTGTCAACAAGAAGCTGCCTCGAAGGCAGAGGCAAGCAGCACTGGAGGTTCCTCTCCCCCCTGTGCCCCTTCATCCTGTGCTTTTTCCTCAGCCCCAGCTTCGTGTTTCGTGTGCACTCTCTCTCTCTCTCCAAAGCGCACCAGAATTAGTGTGTAGTGTGAAAGTGTGGAGATACTTGGGATAACTGCAATTCAGAGGTTATTGCGAATGCATCCCGAGTGCGGAATACAAAGATCAAACAGCCAAGGAACCCGCTTTTGCTAGATGATAGGATGCTATATGAATAGATGGATTGAAAACCCCCTGAGCTACGAGTGATCAAAGCCAAGGCAAACAAAAACTTCAATCCTTATTATGGCGCCTCCTTTTTTGGGGTTCCGTTCAATGGATCCTCCTCTTGTCGCAATAAACCCCAACACGACATCTCCCATTTAATTTCGGAGAACTCTGTCTCCTCGCCATGTGGGTCAGCGACACAGCCATCCACACAGTTTAGCCATGTTTAGACATAGTCAGAGGATTCGCACACAAAAGACACTTTTCGCCATTCCAGTCGAATGTCAATCGTGATTTTCGGCATCCATCCCAGGAGAGTGACCAGAAGAAGGAGTGCAATAGATGCCCCAGTGTAGTTTAACCCAGTTACTTAGTAATATAAATGAGCTGGGACCCCTTCCGTGCTCCCATTCTGCCCTGTCCTATACTCTTTTTGGTGTACAGTACTATATGCCATTTGCTATGCAAGCTCCACATTCTGCTTCTGCTTCTGCTTCTACTTTTTGTCCAAGTGAACTTTGCACTAAATGTGGACGCCTTGGCCGTGCCGAGATTCCCCGAGAGAAATCCAATCCCAGAGTTGTTGGGGGGGCGGGGCGGGGAGTGTGGACAAAGGAAATGTGATGCCAAAACGAGTGACAGTGGGACCCAACGAACAGAGCAGGAAAAACTTTCCGATTGCCGAGCTTCGAGCGAATAGCCTTAAAAAGTTGTTATTTGATGAGCAAGCTTCTCGACAGACTGGAGAGTATAAATCGTTATGGAAGGGAGGAAGGAGCGCCGGGATGACATGATGTATTCCACCCCAACCCCCCGCCAGATGGTCCACAATTAACTGACATTTGAGCCAATGCTTTCGGCCTTAATCTGCATTCGGTAGGCCATCAATAACCTCCTGGGGGGACGTGTAGGTCCACTCTACTCACTCTGCATATGACAAAGTCCCACGGAGAAGTGCGCCAGCTCCGGCATCTGTCTGAGGATCTCCTCGGTCACCAGATGGACGCCGCGGTGCTGCGGCCTTAGATTGATTTTGCGCTGAAACCACGCTGAGCCGATTTGGAGGCCCACGATGGCGTTGCCGTCGCCAGCGCCGGCCACGGCCCCGCCGCCGCGCCCGCTCCGATGATTGGCCGAGGCCATGGTGCTGTTGGAGCTGCTGCTCCGTATGTTGCTGTTGCGACTGACGCTCTGCTTGACGCCGCCCCCGCCGCCACCGCCTCCGCCGGCGCTGCCAGCTCCACCGCTGCCGCTAGTCGCTTTCGTTGTGCCGCCGTGGGGATTACTGCTGCTACTGCGACGTCGCTGGCCGCTGCGTCCGCCGCTCCTTTGATTGCTCCCTGCAGCAGCTCCCGCTCCTGCTCCTGTGGGTGGGCTCTGGCGTGCAGCGGCGGCGGCGGCGGCAGCGGCAGCAGACGACGTCGTTGGTTTGGAGGACGACGTTGTGGCTTCTCGGGACACTCGCGCACTAACACACTTGCACTGGCACTGGCACTGGTAATCGCTTTCGCAGTGGCAGGACTCGATGTGCCGCAAGCTTTGCACTTGGCTGGCTCTGCACTTATTTCACTTTTCCGGCTATTCACTTTTCCTTTTTCCGCCTGGCCAAGCCCTTCTTTGTATTAATTTATTCGATATTATTGCCACTTTTCACCGTTATCAGCACCTGCAAGAACACAAGAGAGAGAGAGAAAAGAGGCAGTTAGTAGACACGTTCGTTCGCAGCAGGAATAACGGAAATGTAAACAGTGTGTGTTCCAGTGGGACCAGATGGGACAAAGTGTTCCAAGACGGCTATGCGTGTATGACATGTCAGTCACTGATGGACATGGACTAATGGAAATACTAATGGTACAGCAGTTTTCTAATTTGACTGCTCTTTAAATATGGCCATTTCCATTAAAAATGTAACAAATTCCAAACAAAACAGATGTTATATTTTAAGTAACTCTTCATTAGTTCAGATAATTGCCAGGGACTTCGCAAACAAAACTAAAATTAAAGTTAAATTTGTTAAAATCGGGACACTTATTCATACTATATGGAAAGGTGCTTTTATTGACTTTTACTTTTTTGTTCTCGCTGGATCGTTCAATGGAAATGCCCGTATATTAAACCAGAATACTACTAATAGTAGTAGTAAGAGTACTAATACTATTTGGCTCACACAGTAGGCTCCTTTTTTTGAGGTGAGTGTCATACAGGCTTTTCTTAGAAAGAAATGACATCATTGAGCTTCTGTTACAGTTTAAGCCACAATTTATTTTGGTTGCTGCTTTTGTCCGGCCAACTCCGTGTAGGTTATCCACCAGAGTCACCTTACAAGGCAGTACTATCTATCGTTGACTACACTCCCTTGGGCCAGTCGACCAATGGCATAAATCAAATACTCATATTATTGCTTAGGCGTTCTTGCTACATCTCAATTAGTACATGCAGCGAGCGAGCAGCGCCCACAATCAACAAGTTATTAATTGCCAAACGTAAACAGCCAAACACGACCAGCCAACCCAACGACTGTTGTAGTTGTCAGAACGCCAGGGGTGACCTTCTCGAAATCTACAAACACACATACACATACACAGATCCATATACATGCATCTGGACATATGTACCTTTGCCTATGTACATTCGCACCCGTATCAGCCAAACACTGGCTATAAAACGTACGATTTCGTGGTAGCGAAAAATAAATAAAAACTATTATAATAATTATAATGTGTATTATATTTATCATTTAAAAGCTACAATTTCTCCAAATGTGTACATACACTTGTATGAATTTAGCTGTGCTGCTTTTTTATGTTCAGTGCATGATTTAAGCTCAATTTTCAGTCATATCTTAACTTTAGTAAAAAGCGTATTTTATTTGAATAGTGCTGAAGTGGTCTTTATGGTCGCTATCAGGTTTGAGAGTCCAAATATAATTTTGTTTTTTTGCTGATAGCCTGACCGTCTCTAAAAAACCTCAGGAAAAAATTTCTCAAAGGGAATGTTTCGGTTTGTGTGACGAAGAGAGTAGGTCCGAGCCAGGGAGCAGTAAAAATGTGTAGTGCCATTCGAAACGGAATAATGAGCACGTGTCGCCAAGTGGGCCAGAGGGGGTCAGAGGGCAGACAGGCCTAGGATTGTTGGCCTAGGAGCGCGCTCGTGCGAGTGGGAAACAGAAGCAAAAAAAGGGGGAAAGAAAAAGAAATATGGAGCGGAATCAAGGAAAATGGTGTTTAAAAATCCCCCTTATTTCCTATGTACTCTCTACACTCCGTACACACTCGTGGCTTACGAGTTGAGTGCTCTCACAAATACAGCCGAAAAGCAATCGAAATGCATTTGGATTGAAGGGAGATTGAAGCCGCAGCCGCAGCACATGGAAAACCGCTATGGGCTCGTACGCCTGTAGTAGTAGTAGTAGTAGTAGTAGTAGCAGCAGCAAAAAGAAAAAAGTTCACACACACGAACAGACCTCCAAAAAATGGCAACACTTGCCACACAAACGGTTTACACGACACTAAAGGCGGCCACACGCCAAAAACTCGACAAGTGGAATGTGGGAACGGTGGGAACGGGGGGACCAAAGTGGTGGAAGATGGAGATGAGCTGATGGAAAACTAAGGCGGCACGAGTACATATCTGGATCAGCAAACATTTATCCAGAATTCATGGAGAAAGGCTCCATTCCTTTCAGTTTGCTCTTGTATAATCACGAAATGTTCTTGGGACTTGGGATCGTAAACCCAAAGAGGAAGCCCAGGAAGAGTGCCCCCTCCCGCCCGCTCAGAGTTGTGTCGTCATGGGCGGGCAACAACTACAATGAGAAGCGCGTTAAGGCCGCAGCCAGGTACTTTATACTTTTTACGGGGCCACTGTTCAAATTTGCATATGCTTTAAATATTTAATGTAATTCAAAAAGAGGAGACAAGCATCGTGGCAGCCGCAGCAGCAGCAGCAATTGGACAAGGCTTGCCCTGTCGGAGTCCAATTGGACTTCCCGACACCAGGAGATGGAGCCAGAGCCAGAGCCGTAGCAAGGGGACTGGACTACCATTCAGGCAACACACAGAATTGTTCGCGCATTTGGCAAAAAATCAATTTTCCGTGTGATTGCCAAATGCAATTGCAAAAGAATCAAGGCAGAGAAGAGAACATGCAAAGCAGAAGATCCAACAAAAAGCATTAGGCACAAAGCATATTTTCACATTAGACGCGCTTTGGGGAACACCTTCGGGCGTACGCAGTTTTTGCAGTGTTTCGGCTTTATTTTTTTACTGTTAATTATTGACATAACAAATGGCAAGTCTCCGTCGCTCTTTTCCGCGCACTCACTCCACCCTTCCACCCTCTGTGGGGCGCGGATGACGGCAACGGCAACGGCAGCGTTGACAGCAGCAGTAGCACACGCGAAATTGCTTAAATAAAGAGGATAGGATAACACAAACACACCGAAACTAGAGCTTATAATTTTCCACCGTTGGCGCTTTGCTTCGCTTCCTGGCGATTCTTTGAACGAAAGGGACTTTTTCGGGGACTGGACTCACGTACACCTTCAGCACTGGCAATCGTCAGCACACGTAAAACACGTAGGCATAAAATCTAAATGCACTTAATTACATCTAATTCGTGTTTTGCTTTTGTATTAATTTTATGGCAAGAGTGCCGCTGCTACTAGCCGTGACGCTAGAGATGAGCGATAGCCGGGTCATGTATTTTAAAGTAGCGAGTCACGGATCACAAATCACGTTTCTATTTATGAATGGCGACACTCCAGAAAACTATTTAACTGAAGAAAGCTATGAGAGCTCAAATCGTTTTCAATTGGCGAACAAAATTGTCATATAAATAAGAATTTCATATTTTGTGGGGGTGACATCAGATCTAGATTAGTCCAAGCATTACCGTTAAATTTTCTCAATTTATCTTGAGAAACTCCACGGAAATGTTTTACTTTACTTTAAGTATTTCACACAAATTTAAAAAAAATCACTGCACCTTTACTATCGGGTCAATCGATAGAAATTGCTTAAATCAAAAGAAAAACAAAAGCATCCAACAGATTTTGATATAAAATCTTGAGAATATCGTAAATACGAAATAAAATTCTTGCAAAACTAAATCTGATCTAATGCAATTTGTAGCTTTCCTTCACTTGGATATCGATACCTTGGCGGCGATAGGCGTGCAAGTAAAAGCGCTATTGTGCATATTATTTACATTCGAAATGCGCACAGATTTAGCATGTGTTTAAACGAAACGAACCAAAAAGCGGTGCTTACTTTTGCTGGTGATTATTAGTTTGTGGCTGAAGCTACTGTCGATGCCGAGATCGGGATCTTTGTGCATTTTGGAGTGGCAATGCGAATGCAACAACAACTACCGAGCTATGGTGCTGCGTTAGTAGGTCGAATAATGCTGCGTTCGGCGGCTAAATATAACGTTTGGCTTTGGCGCTACACTCGTTACTCGTTTTTTATGTGGCCAATTCACAAAATGTACATTTTTTACACCTTTTACACACACCCACGGGCTTTACGCTCACGCTCGCACACACTGGCCCGTTTTTCTCTTTGCTTTTTCGCTTTTGCGAACACCTCTCCTCTCGTCTCCTCTCCTCTCCGCTCCACTCCTCTTCTCTTCACACCACTCCACCTTCACGGCAGCAATTCGGGAGCGTTGCCCGTTGTTTTTGTTTTTAGTGGTACACCATAGAGATTTTTTTTTTGGTAATGTAGGTTAGCTCCATATCCTATTTTCTTGATTCCTGCTTGACTTGACGGATGCTTGCGGGGGATTTTCCTGCTGCATTCATCCGCAGCAGCTGCACGTTACCAAATGGGTGTCTCCCATCAACATGGCCCACATGGGCACAGTTTTCGCATGAAACATTTTTCACTGCCTTCTGCCCGTTTTCAATACCAATATGGGTGCATTCGGAAGGGGCGGAATGGATTCCCGATATTCCTGCCTTTACCCTTCCTTGTCTCTGCTCTGGTTTTCAATAAAACTTCATGGCCCTATTACATATGTACTCCGTGCACACTCACACATACACACGAACCCGATGCGAGGATATAACGGTACACAGTTTTACTGCCTCTTCTCACCAACAGAACTGAACTGTGTGTGTGTTGAAAATTTCTCTCTTTGCTTTTTCAATTTTTTTTTTATTCGTTATGTTTTCTGCTATACTCAGCTACTATTTTTTGGCTTTTCTCTGCCTTTTCTGCGACGAGCAGTGTGACCGCGAACTTATCGTTAAAATGTACCGTTCGACCATCAGGAATATACCATAATATACCGTCCAATTTTAAAAATATACCCTAAATATACTGACGAACTCAAGTTCTATTATACATATTCCTTCAGTTTTGATATTCCCTCCAATATTATTAGCTAGATAGAACATTTAGAACATGCCCACGTAATTTTATCCAATTAATGAACCTATTTTCTTCTTAACTAGCTTAATTTAAATACTTGCTTTAATTGGATTTTGGCTAAAAAAAGGTTTTAACAAACAAGGTCAAAAAAAATAAAACTTAATAGAAAAATCGTTCCAATTCCAATTTTGATATTCCGTTGAATAATGCTGACTAAATAAAACCATTAGCTCTGCCCACACAGTTTCATCCCATTGATGCATAAATTTTCTAAGTGATTAATTACTTATAAGTACTCCCATTTCCTGCATTTTGACTAAAACAAGGTTTAAATGAAGAAGGTCAACAAACAAACAGTGTCAACGTAAGGAATGCGCCGTAAGTGATTATGGAATGTAGGGACATTGTTGAGCTTAAAAGGGATATTGTGGCGAGGAAAAAAGACCCACCAAACTTAAGCGCTTGGAATAAATAATACACGTAAGTACGATTTGTGAGCGAAAATTCAAGAAACCTGCTTATGGAAGTATCTATACCCTTTGTTCTTTGAAATCTTTGAAAATATACCATTATATCCCGAAATACCGGGCTCACTCGTTCCTCTAACGGTAATGTTCCTGCCCCTGCGCACAAACCGGCGAGTCTTTTCCCAGACTATTGTGAATGGCAATTGCGTTGCCATATGCAATGATGTTCCACTAGGGGTCCTGCACCTATCGTTGTTCCGATAACATTATTAACGTAAATTTAGATTTAAATATGTTTCTATACCCATGTACTCGAAAAAAGGGCTTGTTACATTACAATTTTAGCCTTAGGTTGTAAATGTTGACTTTTCCGATTTTATATTTACTGCCCTTTTATCAATTTTCGCTTTTAGTTTAAATTAAATACAGTCATTTGAATGGTCACTCTCCCCTAACGCAATTCGAGTAATTGCAATCACACACATAATTCCAAACGCCCTCCCGAAGCACGCCAACCGCTAAATGTCACAGTCATTAGACTAAATTCTGGCGTCTCCGGATACCGCCCAGACCCCTGCAGCTACCATCCCAGCGCCCAAGGATCCCATCAAATTGGGTGTGACCAGCAGGTGGCCGCATAACCGTCTAACCGCCTAACTAACCATATATGCATGTTGTCTTCGCCGTGCTCCAGCTTGTATGCAGAGCAAAAATTACTTCACTGTGTCGTGCTGTTGAGGCACGCGGCGTGATGCCGCACCCATTTTCTAGGTCTCGAGTCGAGTTTGTTGTCATTTTCGCTTTCATATCCATATCCACAGGCAGAGCCACAGCCACGTCCACATCCACCAAGGGAGGACCTGCTAGTTAAATATCTAGCATTACATTTTTACGTTCCAGCTTTCATTTGGGCGGTGTGAAGGGGAGCTATTCTGTTTCTTTGTTTGTTATTTTACAAGTTTGCCATTTTCCCTATCCCACTCTCGTCCCACTTATTAGAATACCTTGCGTGGGTTCCAGGCACCGGGACCCAGCTCGTCTAGCGTGGGTCCGTGGACAGCAGTCTGCACTGGATAGGCAAAGCAGCCAGACGTACTCGGGAGTAGGATTCGTTCGTATCGCAGTTCATAAATCAGCCAAAAAATGGATGATACAGACTTCCGTGATGTAGACCCGAACGAGGTTTGGCTGGAGAAGGTGACCATTGGGGGGTTTCGCGTTTGGCACATAATAGCCGCTGTCCTGGGAATACTAATGGGAATCAGTGAGTGGACACGAGACTCCAGTGCTACTGTATGTTGAGCATATTATCTATCTTTATCTCTCAGTGATTATGGTCTGCTGTTGCATCCGATTTCGAATACCGCGCACCAAGCAGGAGATCGAGGCGGACTATCAGCGCAAGCAAATCACTAAGAAGTTCCGCGAGAAGCTCCAGCAAATTAAGAACTCGGAAATGGACGACATGGACCTACAGAAGGGTGAGGAGCCGCCGCTACTCTAAATCTGCTCTAAATACACACTCCACTCGTATACGAGTATACATATATAGAAATATATACATAGCGTAGAAGTTTTGTGTACCAACTGTCCCAGTTTTGTTGTCACCCTTATGCGGCCAAGCCCTTTTCCTGTCTGGTCTCCGCCGCCTCATTTTCCTCCTCCTCCCACACGAACTCACGCATTTGTATATACAAAATGAAAATGATAAACGATTCCTCGAGCTGGACCTGCTTGCACGCTAGTTACGAGAATGTTACTCACTCTGTCATGTCTCTCTATCTCGCTGCCACTTCTCTATCACAGCACTTGCTTACATCAAACTGGAACAGTACGATGATCCCTAAGGGCTTGTAAATTCACTAGCACACTGTACAAACAATTGGAAGTACCCAAGAACTAACCTCTGTATCCCAAAGAACACTGCCAATGTAAGTAGCACAGCCAACCCAGCCATTACTCGACTAACTAATGCCATCAGCAATATTTCTCTTCATCGGTTCTGTTCTGCTCTTTTCTTTTCGATTCCATTGCAGTTTGTGCTCGCATCCAAAGCGATTTCCTGAATCTCCAGGCGAGCGTGGAGAGCATGAACGAGAAGCAAAATGTTAAGTTTAAGATCTAGATACGAAACTGTTATACTGTTATATTGTGCAGCGGATGATGAAACCTATACTTTACTCCTAACAACATAAATACTTATAAACTAGACAAGCAGTGAATTTTCATATTGAAGAACATTAAACGTACGGGTAACGTGAAATCCTAACGACGATTAAACGATCAAGCAAACAATAAAGCTCGGGGATGCAGTAAAACAAAAGTTCTTTATATTGCAAATTGGGTTTCTCGTTTTATTAATTCAGTTTGCTTTTTGCTTTCTGCTTTTTTGTGGTATCAAAGGTTCGTTAATAATGTTTTGTTTGCAGGATTATGTTTTTAAATGCGTTTTCTACACATACGTACATATAGGCTAGTGGGGACAGCGTTTTCCACAATTGCGACTATATAACAAGTTGTTGGCATACCGCATCGCACTCGACTCGTTTGGTCTGTTATGACATGACATTTTTCAATGCTTTTTGCACTTAAGTTTAGTTGATTTATTAGTTTAAAATGTTGCTTCTCTGCTGTGGCGCCGACTCGGCTAATGACTGTAACAAATTTGCTGAGGCTGACACTGACACTGACGTTGACTCTACACAAAACACTCACAAGTTTACCAATTATCAATTATTTACGCATAACTATTAACTCTTTGTTCATTATGTTGCTGAGCTTACATTTAGCCTTAACTTTCCGTTTCAAATACTTTCTTTTTTCTACTATTTGTCTTTCCTGCTCTGCTGGGGTTTCCATTGCTTTGCCGAAGCAAAGCGTATGTTCTCTTTTTGCATTTCAATAGACAGTTCATTTCTTTATATTTATGTATTTAAAAACAACTAAACATACTGCACGCATCATTCCATGCGTTTAAATGTTCTCCCCCTGCAAAGGAAAGAATAAAATTAGTACAGCCGCAGAAGACCTTGGCCCTGTCAACACTCACGTTATGGTTTTCTTCTCCGTATTCTTGGGCTCAGGCCTGGCACGATTTAGCACCTTGAGGAAGTCCGAGGTTTTTGCGCGCATGCGGGAATGAATGTATGCCTTTGAACACTGTTATAAATAACACGGTTAATACTAGGTAAGTTCTCGCCAATTCAGATCATACGCACCTTGATGTGGTAATGCAAATAATCTCGGAACATGTGGATTAGATTGATGGTATTGTCCCTCGTTTCTTTGTTGGTATGCCGAGGGAAGAGCACTGTTATGTAAAAAGTAAAAAAAACAAGAGTAACGGATAAGTGGATTTTTCGGAATTGCATTCGTCCTTAAAAACAGTTTCATCAGCATTTGACAGGCAGATCAATTGAATTTCTCAAAATATAGCACTCTTAATATGCCACTTTGACTGTTTCACAGTCTAAGGGCTATTGTACACGAACACAAGTCGTCTGTTATAATACGAGGGATTATTCAGGATGCCGTTCGTCTATCTGGTTACTATCGGAGTATTTGAGACACAAATCTGAAGGTTTGTTCAGAAATATGCCACTTTAGCTCCAGGAAAACAATATTATATAACAGTTAAAGGTCTATTGTACACGAACACAAGTCGTCTGTTATAATACGAGGGATTATTCAGGATGCCGTTCGTCTATCTAGTTTTTATTGGAGTATTTGAGACACAAATCTGAAGGTTTGTTCAGAAATATGCCACTTTGGCTCCAGGGAAACAATACTGCATAACAGCTTAAGGGCTATTGTACACGAACACAAGTCGTCTGTTATAATATGAGGGATTATTCAGGATGCCGTTCGTCTATCTGGTTACTATCGGAGTGTTTGAGACACGAATCTGAAGGTTTGTTCAGAAATATGCCACTTTAGCTCCAGGAAAACAATATTATATAACAGTTAAAGGTCTATTGTACACGAACACAAGTCGTCTGTTATAATACGAGGGAATATTCAGGATGCCGTTCGTCTATCTAGTTTTTATTGGAGTATTTGAGACACAAATCTGAAGGTTTGTTCAGAAATATGCCACTTTAGCTCCAGGAAAACAATATTATATAACAGTTAAAGGTCTATTGTACACGAACACAAGTCGTCTGTTATAATACGAGGGATTATTCAGGATGCCGTTCGTCTATCTAGTTATTATTGGAGTATTTGAGACACAAATCTAAAGGTTTGTTCAGAAATATGCCACTTTAGCTCCAGGAAAACAATATTATATAACAGTTAAAGGTCTATTGTACACGAACACAAGTCGTCTGTTATAATACGAGGGATTATTCAGGATGCCGTTCGTCTATCGTGTTATTATTGGAGTATTTGAGACACAAATCTGAAGGTTTGTTCAGAAATATGCCACTTTGGCTCCAGGAAAACAATATTGTATAACACTTAAAGGTCTATTGTACACGAACACAAGTCGTCTGTTATAATACGAGGGATTATTCAGGATGCCGTTCGTCTATCTAGTTTTTATTGGAGTATTTGAGACACAAATCTGAAGGTTTGTTCAGAAATATGCCACTTTGGCTCCAGGAAAACAATACTGTAAACAGTTTAAGGCCTATTGTACACGAACACAAGTCGTCTGTTATAATATGAGGGATTATTCAGGATGCCGTTCGTCTATCATGTTATTATTGGAGTATTTGAGACATAAATCTGAAGGTTTGTTCAGAAATATGCCACTTTGGCTCCAAAAGTTGATTCGAAAAATATAAGCTGTTATAAGAATATTGATTCTGCAAAATGCTGTGATCACCGACAAGGCTACAAGATAAAACCGCAACAAATGATTGGACGCAAGGGCTTAACCTACCAAATGTGACATAGCCAATGTTGTCGCCTACTCTGGCATCCGTGTTGGCCAATTCCAGGGGCGGTTCTCGGTGCGTAAAGAGCACTTGTGGGGCTGTGTGAGAAGCACGTCGCCCTTCTCTCAATTCCTGCATAAATACTTTGCCAATTACGACGTCGTCCTCATCACGGAAGATAGTGCTGAAAACAACGGTGACACGATCTGGCTTGGCTTCCACGTACCTATGGATGAAAGTAGTTGGTCAACAGGTTCTTCGGGTTTCTAATTGGTCTTACAAAGTCTCATCGTTGCGGTAGTTAATTACGGCACGCTTTTGTCCTTCTTCTCCTTGCTCCTGGTAGTCGAAATACTTTTCAAAGACGGAGGCAAAACAGTTGCGCTTCAGCAGTCCAATTCTCTTTGCAATTTGCTCCCAGTCCTCGGGGATTTCTTCCAGATTTATAAGTACAGAAACGTTGTAGCCTACCAAACGCAAAGCAATTAATTAACAGTAGAAACAAAGAACTACAGCTCGGTTGCGTGCACAAACCTTCTTCTGTGTCAGTTAGCAGACTGCCATATTCACGCTTCAGCAGCTCGTCAGCCCCATGCTCTTGCAGCTGTTTGTAGAACTTTAGCGATATGCTGATCTATTTTAGCGGAGGAAACCAACGATCAAGAGAGTTCGCTCTGAACCGAATTCGCAGGAATACTTACCCTCACTTTTGTTTTATCGTTATTCACATTTGAAATGTGATAGAGTACGCCATCGAAGTCAGCTATTCGTATGTCTATCGATTCTGGCTTCAGTCTGCAAGAAGAATTTCAAAGATAACATTCAGTTCGACTACTTATAAGTATTAGTCATTACTACCACACACCGCAGTACCTTATCGGCAAAATAGTACACACATTTGTACATACAGATGTATATAAATAGATTTCCATTAATCTGTTTTTGTTTGAAAACTAATTATACAGAATGTATGCAATTCACATCTATTTGCGGAGAATTCACAAGTTAGGAACATCTAAAGTATGTCACATTATAGCTCCGACTAAACTCAATTGGTTTTTTTTTTATACGAAAATCTTTAATAAAATACTACTATTTAGAGTATGAAGGACACCAAGGTATTTTCCGAAATTCATATGCCACTTTCCAGGAAAACGATCCTAAAGGTTATTGTACACGAACACAAGTCGTCTGTTATAATATGAGGGATTATTCAGGATGCCGTTCGTCTATCGTGTTATTATCGGAGTATTTGAGACACAAATCTGAAGGTTGGTTCAGAAATATGCCACTTTGGCTCCAGGAAGACAATACTGTATAACAGTTAAAGGCCTATTGTACACGAACACAAGTCGTCTGTTATAATACGAGGGATTATTCAGGATGCCGTTCGTCTATCTAGTTTTTATTGGAGTATTTGAGACACAAATCTGAAGGTTTGTTCAGAAATATGCCACTTTAGCTCCAGGAATACGATACTGTATAACAGTCAAAGGTCTATTGTACACGAACACAAGTCGTCTGTTATAATATGAGGGATTATTCAGGATGCCGTTCGTCTATCTAGTTTTTATTGGAGTATTTGAGACACAAATCTGAAGGTTTGTTCAGAAATATGCCACTTTAGCTCCAGGAAAACAATACTGTATAACAGTTAAAGGTCTATTGTACACGAACACAAGTCGTCTGTTATAATATGAGGGATTATTCAGGATGCCGTTCGTCTATCTAGTTTTTATTGGAGTATTTGAGACACAAATCTGAAGTTTGGTTCAGAAATATGCCACTTTGGCCCCAGGAAAACAATACTGTAAACAGTTTAAGGCCTATTGTACACGAACACAAGTCGTCTGTTATAATATGAGGGATTATTCAGGATGCCGTTCGTCTATCATGTTATTATTGGAGTATTTGAGACATAAATCTGAAGGTTTGTTCAGAAATATGCCACTTTGGCTCCAGGAAAACAATACTGCATAACAGCTTAAGGGCTATTGTACACGAACACAAGTCATCTGTTATAATATGAGGGATTATTCAGGATGCCGTTCGTCTATCTGGTTACTATCGGAGTATTTGAGACACAAATCTGAAGGTTTGTTCAGAAATATGCCACTTTAGCTCCAGGAATACGATACTGTAAACATTCTAACGGCTATTGTACACGAACACAAGTCGTCTGCTATATTATGAGGGGTTATTTAAGATCTAGGACTATGTGTACTACTAGCTGGCGGGTGATGCTTGGTTACTGCTCAAATCAGCGTGCGGCACGTCGTTGGTCTTCAAAAGCTCTTCCTTGAATAGGATTTTTGCACTGCAGTCGGGCTCGAACCCAAATATGCAAATAGATACACGGATCTAAGAAGCCCTAATGAGCTTTACAAAATTTGACGCCCTTCCCCACTTTTTGGAACATGATTTTATTGGGGTTTCAAGCGTGGTTTCAACGAGATTCGTTATATTTTTTCCGACTGGCGATGAGTCATGTCCAGCTGGGTCGACGCATGGACGCAGATGATGCACAAATGATTCGATAAACAAGCTGTAATGAATTAACAAATGGGTTGCATGGATAGGAAGAGGGGATCGGGCAGGGGCTGTATCAGTGGCAAGTAAGTATGTTGGATTGTACATATAGGGAGAGCGCTCGCTTGACGAGTGGATGAGTGTACCAGCGATGGAACTACACCCGAACTTTTACTCCGAGCTAGAGCTAGAGTATACGTACGGACTGATAAAGAAATCGAAGCTGATAACACGCGGTAGGGAGTGCAGGAGGAGAGGAAGTACATACATAGATAAACCAAAATGGTGGAGCAATAAGGTCACATTACTGCCTTACAGTTATGTGGAACACTTACCCGGCCTGGGCGTTGCGGTATTTGACAAGGAGTGTCTCCTCTATAATCCGATTATTGATTTCCAGCAAGATCATGATGAGCGGCGGCCTATAGATGATATTTTTGCAGAATTAGGTTGCTCTAATGCAAGGCGATGACAAATTTTATGACGTCGACTTCTTTCGCCGCTCACGGAGCTGCGAATGCGGTGGTTCTTCGTGCGGTAACTGTTTCTTTCTCTGCCAGAGGCGCGCTGTGTGTGGGGCGCTGCTCCAACTCACCAACACAGGCACATTCCGCGTGTGAGCAGTGTGTGTGTGTGCGCAGCGTATTTAATGAATCAACAACAAAAAATGGGCGCTGATGTCGGCTTTTTTGGTCGTCTCACACACACACACACACACACGCACACTACAAAATTCCAACACACACAAAGCCGCAAAGCTCTGACACTTGCAAAAAATGTGTGCTCTTTTTCTGTTTCACCCGATAAAAAAAGAGTTCAGTTCAACACGATTTTCTTGCTTTATGGAATGGGTTTTGAGCGTTAATACCTTTAATTTAAGACAAAACGTGGGTATAAAGTCTTGTCTTGTAGGTGATATTTAGTGTGACCCTTATCATTAAAATATACGGCCTGACCGTGAGAAACATACCGAAATATGCAGTCTCATTTTCAAAATATACGGTAAATATACTGATTTTATTCCGATTTTATTCAATTTTACATATTCCGATTCTGATATTCCGTAAAATATTACTAGCTAGATAGAATATTTAGCCATGCCCACATAATTTTATCCGATTAATGAACTTATTTTCTAATTGACTGGTTCATTTTAAACACTTGCTTTTATTGGATTTCTATATACCGTTGAAAATGAAATTTAATAGATTGATGAAATTGACAAAATGTACCATTATATACCGATTTACAGTAAATATACCATCGGTTCAATTTCGACCTCAAAAAATATTTATTTTTCGGTATATTAGGCAATTTTTCGGTGTATTTAAGATGGTAAAAATTTATCTGCAGAATACACTCTCTCAAATTTAAAAAGAGTTTCAGTCAAATTATATTTCTACTTTCTATACTATATTTTGCCTATAATAAATAGATTTAATATAATTTTTCAATCTAGCAAAGCTGTGACACACATAATATATGAAAATATGTCTGAAATTTATAAGTTAATATTAAGCTGATATATAAGAAATACAGTATATACAGTATATATACTGTATGGTTAGTGCTTAAATTTACTAGATCCAAGCAGCAATGTTAATTTCGTAGAATTCCACAAAATGAATTTGGGCATTAATGTAAGCCTAGAAATGTCAAAATTAGAAAGAAATGAAAAATATGCATTTTTCAAAAGAGCACAGTCATTTTTGATCGAGTTGAGTATACAATTAATGAAAAGGTTGCCTTTTAACGAGAAGGTTTTTAAACTTCTCTCCTTCCTAAACCCTGAAGACATAGTCAAAGGCCAATTATCATGCATGACCTGTATAAAAGATTTCCTCAACTTATTAAAGATCCGCAGGGAATCGATAATGAATTTGTCCTCTTAAAAAATTATGAGGTTCTTTTTAATTTATTAAAAACACACAAAAGTCCTGTCCATTGCTCTGAACCGAAGATTGAAAAGCTGTTAAAAAATCCCAGCGACATCGTTAGTGACGATAGTGATATTAGTGATTAGTATATTTATTATTATTAATAAGTCTTATTAAGACTTAAGATTATTAAATGAAATGAATGAAACATTTATTTCGAATAGGCCAATCATGTAGGAAATAGATTCACCAATCGTATAAAATTATGTTTGCCTGGCTAAATCTTCCATAAAGCTGATATTCGACGGAAGATCAAAGTTGAGGGAATCGTCGTATTTGTTGAATCGGTAATGGCCCGGTTGACAACACTTAAATCCTTGTCGCTCACATTCAAAAAAGTTAGATTTGGCGCGCACCACTCGTAACCAGTCGATAGTATCGATAACCGAACTTGAATCGGGTGAATGTGGTCATTGCTGAAAGATTTCGTTAGTCAGCATTATTCAATGCAATATCAAAATTGAGCAATTTCCTTTTTCGTTTGTTTTGATTGACCTATTTCGCTACTTGTTTTTTGTTTGACTTATTTCGCTAGAACCTTTTTTTATCCAAAATGCCATAAAAGCAAGTATTAAGAATACAACAGTTAAATAGAAAATTGATTCATCAATCGTATAAAACTATGATGGCATGGCTAAATGTTTTATATAGCTAGTAATATTCGTCGGAATATCAAAAGCGAGGAATATGTAATATAGAACTTGAATTCGTCAGTATATTTACGGTATATTTTGAAAATGAGGCGGTCTGTTTCGGTATATTTCTGAGGGTCGGACGGTATATTTTATCGATAAGTTCGCGGTCACACTGCTAAGATTAAAAATTAAAACAACAAATGGATGAAAGCGAGCTAATTAAGTTAATAAAGAACTGCCCTATCCTGTACGACAAGGACAGTGCACGCAGCGTGAAAAATGCAGCGCTGAAAGACGCAGCATGGAAGACCATATCCCAGAAGATTGGCGCCTCAGAGCGAGCCTGCATCACACGTTGGAAGAGCATTAGGGACCGCTTTGGAAAGGAGTTTCGTCGATTCCAGGAAAACCCTGAAGTGCCTACTTACTGGGACATGTTTCCGCACCTGCTGTTCCTCAAAGACCACTACAAGCACGGCCTGGTCAGGCACGAGAGTCTGGAGGGGATTAAATTTCAGCCCAAAGTGAGGAGGAAACGCAACTACAGATTGTATGAGGAACATGAGAAAAATCCTAAGGCCGAAGAGGAAGACTGCAAAGATGATATACTAAGCGAGCTGATTGAGCTGGTCAAAATGCATCCCGTTCTGTATGACAAGGACCAGATACGCATTTCCAAGAACCTGTCTGCCAAGAATGAGGCTTGGCGGGAAATCTCGGAGAGGTTGAATGTGTCGGGTGTGTGGCTGGACGCGTGTGCATATGAATGGGTACTAATATAGTTTATAATCTTTCCGTTTAGAGGAGATCTGCTTCAAACATTGGAAGAAGTTGCGCGAACGATTCGCGCGAGAGTATCGCAACCAGCAGATTGATCAATCGACGCCCATTACCTGGAAGCATTTCAATGATCTGCTCTTCTTGGACAAGCATTTTCGTAAGGGAGTTCCCCTGGTCATAGAGAATATGAAGAAGCGAGGACGCCCACCAAAGGCGAGCAATCAGACTGGCGTTCCCGACAAGCAAACGACTAGCGTCGGCTTTGTGAATGGGGAGCAGATCTGGGGCGCCGACTATCCCTACAGCACAGATAATGATGAGCAGGATAACGATCTCGAGCTGTCCTACGATGATCCGGACGAGATTGAGTTTGCACCAGAACCGGAGCAAACGACTGCCTACGATTTCATTCTCCCGGAGACTGCCCCCTCTCAGCATTTGGCGCCGGATGTGAGCGTTGAGCTCTTACCCTACAACGAGAGCTTCGACCTGGCTAGGGAGAGTAGTACTGTTGAGGACGTGGGCATTGCCACAGAGGATGACACGCCCGCCGCCACATCTGGCAATCTGCTCGACCATGTCATATCCAACATGGAGACTGTCCTTCAGCAGTCACGGGAGCTACAGGCGCAGCTCCAACAGGAGCAGCAACGTCCCCCCGCGATTAAGAGCCTGTTGGCCAAGGCTCAAATGCTGCTGGACGGCCTCAGCCCGAAAGATCGGTCGACTGCAGTGCGACAAATAGGGCTGTTCGTGCATCAGTGCCAGATCAAGGCACTGGCGGGGGAGGAGATCGAGGATCTGACTCCTTACCAAGTATTTAATTGTTAGGGTGAGTTCGGAAGTTTCTGAGCTTTAGATTTAAGAGACAATGCTTACATTTGCCAATATAAAGTTTAATGGAGATGTGATATCTCGATATATTGTTTGAATTTTGTTATCGAATACCAGCTGTTGCTTCGATATCCGCCAGAGGGCGCTCAAATTTTCAAAAGAAACGTTACGCGCAGTCGGAAACTGAAAGAAAACAATAGCACCCACGCCCGAACATTAATTGCAATTAATAACGCACACACACACACAGCAAACACTCAAAAAACGCTTAAACAAATCGCTGGGCATGCAGTTAAACGCGAATGATTTTAATTCGCTTAGTTTCCACGCTCGATTCGCACGCTGCAGTTGTTGGCTGGTCCGCTCTCCTCTTGTGCGTCAAAGAGCCGCCAAAACATTTAGAATTATTGAAATAATAAACGGACCACGCCAGCCGCACAAAAGCGCTTTTTAAGTGTCTGCAAATGATATTTGTTGCTCGCCGCCCCTCCTCGCCCGTTGTGGTTCTTGGTTGTCGGGCGTAAACTAATTTTGTATAAATAAACGAACCGAGAATCGTTTGAAGTTATAATATTTGGGATTCGTAGAGTACGACGGAGACTTGGATGGTGCTAATGGAATGCGATGAATCGGTTGATATGTACATGAAAAGCGTGCGCCATTGTTGTGACACCTGCCGGCCCTACTTCCCATCCCCCCTTCCCCCCCACTATGCATCAGGACTACGCATGTTTGTTCGTGTTTCCACATGCTTGTGTCTGTCGCTGCTGCCATTAGCTCAATCGTCGGAGGCGAGGAAGAAAGCGGTTCCTGATAGTTTCTTCCCGTTGCTGATATCTCTTTCTAAATGACAATTTGGTAAGTACACTGGCCGAAAATCAATCAATTATAGAATCAGTTTAGAAAGAACATATTCTCAGCTAACTAGCTATAGATAGAGAAAATCGAAGAAAATAGTTCAATTACAATGTGCACCTATGTATATTCGTGGAACTATACCACATGTGTAGGTAGATTTGAAATTGTGGGTAATTTCAAGTATTTTAGGACCTACATTGTATTTAGCTTCGAATACACAAACAATGTACGTATTTATGATAAATATCATAGATAATATAATAGTTATTGGTATTATTTTGGTATTTTGATGGGTTGATGAAATGTCTTAAAGCACAAAAGTAAATGTCGCTGAAACATTTAAAGTTCAGTAGACCTTTGACCTGACACCAGATCCATTTCCATTTCCATCTCCACGCCACTCAACTCCTTCCCTTCTCTGGCTGAATCATTTACAGAGCTGCCACTTTGTCGCATCATTGGAGGAGGTCAAACCATCAATCACCGTGGCCGTGGCAACAGCGGAAACGTGCGCCAGGATGCCCCTCCTGCTGCCCATCCATCCCACAGAATGGTGGGGCTCAGCACTCCTTGGTCTATTTTCCACTTGCGCTGGCAATTGTGTATGAAGAAAATTTGTATAATTGCCAATTGCCACGGATTTACTCGATTGCGGAGACGCGAGCGACGATGCACCAAATAATATTCAGCATACGCCGTGTGTGCCAAATTAATTGTAAAGCATTGCCGCAGCCGTGCCAACGCACACACACACACGCGGTCGGATGCATGCTCGAGGGGTCTCACACACATGCAAATACAAATGCAAATGCAACATATGTACCATAAATATTTGCATATTTGTATAGAAATATATTTAGAGGCAAGTTTCGCATAACAATAAATCCAAACAACATTCTGTTCGCCGCTGGCACTCGCTCTGCCTTTGGAGGAGCGCTTCGGGTTGTCTGTAAATTTGCCATGGCTCTGCGAGTGCCTCTGTGAGAGTGTTAGTGTGTCTGCATTGTTTTTGGCTTATGTATGCATGCATGCCGTCGTGTGTTTCAATGAGCGCAAAATATCTATATCTGTGCCTGTGCCATTGAAAGTGCGGCTGTGTGCATCGAGGGCTGAAAAGTCATTTGAATTTTGAATGAGAGCCTCTCATCAGATTAGGGAATTTGGGTTGAACCATTCATGAAATGAATAAAGATACTCACGCTGAATGGGGGAACAATGCGCCTTGTGTTTGTTGTTTTTGATTATGATAAATGGTAAACCAAAAAGGATCTAATGAACTCCATTAAATTAGTCTTGAAAGGGTTTCCGCTATTAGACAGAGAGAACGATCCTGTATCAGTACAATTCAATGAAAGTTGAATGAAAGTTCAAGTAAAGTCAAGTTTAAGAGGCTTAAGAACTTTATGGCTGCTGAGTGTCTGAGAGTAGCTTGGAGGAACTATCTTGGAGGAAGTGCTTCTTGCAGCAGGTTTGCTTGCATCAGATCAGAAGAAGAACTTTATTTGCAGCCCTCGCTGCTGTTACGTTCACATTTCACATTTCGAATACTCGTACAACGTGATGGGCAAACACTTTTTCACTTTTCCGCCTTTACACTGCTCTTGCCTCCCCTCTCTCGATTGCCTCCTTGTGTGCGTGTCCATATCCTTCTCGGTAGGCTCTGGTGCCAGGCTGCACTGCAGCAGCATTTTTTATGGCCAGTGCAGTTCTTGTGCCCTGTGCCCTGGGCCTCGAACATTGCGACATGTTCTGCATGGCCAAACAACAACGCCTCAAACACTGTTGCAAACAATTTGCAATAAAATTGAATGCAGAACAGGACACACAGACAAAAGCCATGGCAGCCACAGCCATGGCCAAAAGTCAATCATGCAGGCCCGGAGAGTGGGAGAAGGCCACTAAGTGGCTCTCTGCCCCTCGCTCAGAGCACGTGTGGGGCACCGGGCCGCTCAACCTTTGACTGGAGCTTTGAACTTTGGCGCCATTTCGCTGACCGACGCAGCCAGGCGCATAAATTTCGCCTTGAAGGAGCGGAGGAGCCACGGGAGACTGCAGTTCAAAAGACTCGCTTGGCAAAATTTCAGCTCAAACTTTCGTCTTACAAGAGTTCTTTCTCTTTTTCGTGTTCTTCCTCTTTTCTTTTCTTCTCGTTTCGTTTATTTTCTTTTCGCTTTCTCGATGCTCCTGCCCCTTTTGGCAGCAATGACCTACAAAGGCATTTAAAATTTACGACTTGATGGCGAATCTGCCTCGAAATGAATGAAGACAAAGTGCAGGAGCGGCCGAGGAGTCAGGGGCCGATGTCTGAGGAGTGGCAGGCACCAGTGATGCCTAGGACTTGAATCGAAAGAAATATGGATTCGAATTGATTTTTGTGCGAGAGTCTTGGAGATCAGCAGTACCACATCAGATTGGAGCTGTAATAATGGATAAGATACTGGTTATTGGAAAAATTATAGAATAGCATGGGATGTGCCTCACGCGCCATAGAAATAGCTGGAGTGGAGACTGTCTTTGACGGTAAAACAGCCGTAAGCCACCGCCTTTGGCGGTGTAGTAAAAGCCAAGCCGACAGCTCTGTTGGCCCGACAGCTGCTTGGGTGTTTCTCTGTCCTGGCCCAGAGCCCTGGCTGGCGTGGAAATTTGCGCCGCGTGTGTCAAGCTGCTTAATTGCACTTGTGCGCAATTACATTTAAGTAACTAAAAGGAGTGCACTTGGCTGACAATTAGCCGCACACACACGCACACACAGGCATGCAGCAGGGGGCGGGGCAGGGTCCACTCTAATTGGATCTAGCAGCGGCAACAATGCGTATGCGTAATCAAACTGACGAACATAATCATCGGCCCCTTCAGTCGTCCGCTGGCAGCAAAACAACTACGAGAAAATGAGAGTGCGAAACAACACCAAAACATGTATTTATACACATAGGCAGCATCACACAAACATACACAAACACTACGTATATGCATGTATGTGTCTCAGGGAGGAGGTCTCCATATAATGTAGTTTTTTTCGATCTGGTTGCATGAGTTTTACGATTTGCAATTACTTTGCTATTTTGGAAATGGATTTTCTTATTCGCCGTCGCTGCGTCTGTGTCTGACTGGGCCGCCACTGCCCCACTCTCCCATTCTCGCACTTCGTGCCACACATTTTCAATGAAAAGTCCGCGTCTGCTGCCAGTCTATGGCCCATTGTCTGAGCACGCTTGGCATCGTTTCAAGAGCAAGAAATCGAACGCCTCTGCTCATTACTCATACGCAGCGTGTACGCCAGCAACGTCAGAAAGGCCAGCAACGCGGTAGGGGAGCCAAAAATAAACTTTAAATAGAAATTATGGCTAAATTGAACTCAATTACTTATTATATTTATTCAAGTTAATCGATTTTCCCTGTTGCAAAGTAATAGGCAAACTTTCTTCCAAAAGACGCGGACGGATCCAATCTAAACATCTTTACATATCTCTTTTGGACATCTTTCTAGATAAACAAACACCTAAGCTCCTATCCAGCATAATTGTTTATTCCTCATAGCACCATATCATACGCAATTACCATTACGCCATGAAGCATTGTGATTCAGCCGGCAATCCTCGTTCAATTCACACAACCAAAAGCCGAAATATAGATTTTTGAAATACATAAATTACATAACTCACATAGCCCCCACATCATAAAAGAGATTTATGCATAATTATCGCAGCTTTTCAAAATAATCCCCGCAATATCCCGAAATATTCAATTGAATTTAGCAGCGATTCAGGCATGGCGGTAAAATCATCGGAAAATATACACAAATACGGAAAATGTGGAAATGTGTTTGTAGGGCGGCAAATGAAAAAGTTAATTATGCGCAAAGTGAAACCAAATGTTTTTGCTCAAGCGACTTTTCGGTCGAATGTCGAATGCTGAATGCTGATTGTCGGGAGCAAATTGAATGTAAACTGAGAAAAATGAAATACGATTACGATGAGCACTTGTGGCCACATCTGGGGGGGCACGGAGGCCATTTAATGGCCAACTGTCCATTTGCCACGCAGAACACACAGCACAGCACGGCACACAAAATACATAGAGAATACATAAATCTATATCTAGATGCTGTCTGGCTGATATAAAATATACGTACGTACAAACAAAGCATTTCAAGTGCTCTGACAAAGGCGCTAAAAGCAAATGGATAACAAGGGAAATATATGCATGAAAATATAAATTA